ATTGGAGTGTGACTGAAAGTCTAGTGTTTAGTAAATCTTCACTTCGTAAATTAGTTTATATATATAAACAATAAGACATTTAATTTTTTTGATTTTTGCATCGAAATTCCACAACTGCAATAGGTTCCCAGATAATCTGAACTTAGTTTGTTCAACTTTCGTAATGGTTCACCAAGGTTTTGTATAGGATACTTACTTACGCCTGTCACATTTCGTGAAGGAGCATAGGTCGCCCACCAACCACCTTTTTCTTGGACTCTCTTTTTCAGTTGTTTCCAAGTCCTATTCATTTTTTTGATATCCGCTTCTAATTCCCGACGCAATGTTTCCCTTCGTCTTCATATTTTCCTTTTTCCTTCAGAATCCCAGGTTAGGGCTTGCCTCGTAATGCAGTTAAATAATTTCCGTAATGTATCTCCTGTTCACCTCCCTCGTTCTTCCATAATTTTCTCAGCTGAAAGTTTTATTCTCTGTCGCAGTAGTTCGCTGATGGTGTCTGGCCGATGGACACCGAGTACCTTGTGTAGACAGTTGTTCATAAATACTTGTACTTTTTTGATTATGGTTGTAGTAGTTCTCGAAGTTTCAGCTCCGTACAGTAGAACTGCCTAGGATAGGCCTGTATAGAATAACATTTTTTTAAATGTGTAATTCAAATGAACTTGTTTTTAGTAGGGATTAGTATACAAAAGCTTTTCAAATTCAGTAATATTGTAAACCCGGTGATCACAGCATATTTCGACTGATGTTGTACACTCAGTACAATTGAGTGAGGTACAGGATGTGTCCTTGACTTTGTAACTTATCTGCCTCTCAATGCTTGATATGTATGCAATATCTCGGATTTTCCCGTCCATTTAGTGAAGGAATTCTACATATAAGGAGCATAAAATTCACTGTGGATCTCATTTCAAACTCTTAGTTCCCTTTTATTTGCTTTTTTTTTCATCCGGTAATTTGGGCTGCGCGACAATAGCGTTTTCATAAAAGACATAAATAGATAACTTTAAATTATTAAAATGAAGTTTCGAGTAGAAATTACAGTTATATGCAACACTGACATACTAAGTAAACGGGGATATGCTAGATATCACACTTTTATTGAATGTTAAGAAAGTATGATTAATGGAATTTTGCATTTCATTTAAAACTGCTTAAATTCCTGCTGTTTCAATTAATAGAAAAATATATAATGCTGTTAAGATTGCATGCTTATCATGACCTTAATTAAGCTCAGTACATCACTAGAAAATTCTGGCGCCTTGTTATTGAACGGTCGGTCTGTTAGTCCATTCAGTGACTTATTTTTTCAGACAATCGATTAATACGAAATATCAACCAATCAAAATACTTCATTTCGAGTTACTTTCATCAGTTCATACAACAATCATTATGTTTTGTCATAGTGATTGTAATTAACTAGTTATCTGGTTATGAAGTCGGCCCTAAATTCTGCCATAGACATGAATGAAAATTAGTCGTGCCATTTTCTATTGTGCTATTTTATTCTGTTCATAGTATAAAACACCTTTTCTAATTAGGGAATATGTTTTTAAATTAATACAAAGTTTCTAATAGTACAATGTCACACAAAATACTTGGTTGTGTAACTTGTTTCGGAAAAAAACATAATTGTCAAGACGTTAAAATACTTGGTTTCTTTTGTAACAATAAAATTGCTTTGGGAGTAGGATAAACACTTTTTTCCAGATATAATTCAACATTAGTTGATACTGTTGAAACTAACTGTATGATAAAACTTAATCTGTAATCAAAGAATGACATAATAAATAAATCAATAAATAAATTAATTAATTAAATAAACAGGTAATTCGGAGTATATCAAGTCTGAATATATTACTGTAATTTTATGCAAGGAAAATGCTCTAACCTATGTATATTGATGAAATTTAATTCTCAGTCCATAAAATCATTTACCTCTGAACTAAGCTGTGTTTGTAAGTTCAGACTACTTGGTCGGCTGAATGATCACAGCGAATGGTTAGGAATTTTGGGCTATGTGGCTTATAGATATACTCACTCTTTTTCCATCTTCCAGATTTTGGGTTTTAGTATTACTCTAAGTATATCTTCTTTGTAAACTACATTCTCAGTGTTTAGTCGATGGAACTAAACTGTACTAACGGCCTTGAAACAAATGAAAATGGCCAGTCAGGATGGAGATAGCGGTTGTTGGGTTGACGCGCGATTTTCAAAATGAAGTTATGGATAACCCACTACCGAAACTATTTTTTTTGGACTAGGTTTTTTATTTTGGCTAATTTGGTCGGTAATATGATCGTTGATCACTTATAAAACCTTGGAATATTGAGGGATAGCATCTTATCTAACCGTGGACATAAAATAACAAGGAGAGAAAATCTAGAGTCCAGAGATGCGGTTGTTATACACTGCACTAGATGTTGAGAAAATAAGTCTATTGGAAATGACACATTCTCATGATTAAATTTATGATTAGTTTACACAACCTACATTCTGGCTGTCTAACATTCGACCGGTTAATCTCAAATTCACTCTTAAAATCGCTCAAGGTGGTCAGTTTCGTTAAGTTTTAATGTTTAGTCATTATCACGATCATTGGTATTACAGCAACCTCGATTTCTTTGCAGTTCATCTTCATTTTATTTCGTTGTGCTAATGTTGTATGGTGACCTGGACCACTGCGCATTTGTGCTAAATGCCTTATTGATTATGACTGACTGATTAATGAATTATAATTTTAGTTATTTATAGCTGATAAGCTATCTACATTAATTGATGGATATCCTACTTAATTGATTAAATAAGTAGTTAGTTCTTACTGAACTACGAGTCTTAAAATATAGAATATCTGGTTAAATATTAATTTCTGAGATAAATGTTTTATTCCTGTATAACACACTCAATTCACGTATGGTGACTATCAGGTATAACAAATTGTTAATTAAATCTTAAAATCAAAGTCATCAACACCACCAGTGGGACTCCGTTCCTTTCGTTCATGTTAAATACAAACTGGTAGATTAAGTGGTTGTCAACATGGTGAATGTATGCAGTCATCTATTCTTTATGTTCAAATTATCAATGTAAGTAGAATTCCCCTTTTGAAACTTTCAGTTAATTTTATGGCGCTTATGACGTTACGATGCATCCTACCTTTTTATTTGTTTTGAATTGCTCATTCTTTTCAATCCCTCATGACTAATGTCATGATGCTGCATGGTCACTTAGTAACTGGAAAATTAATAACATTCCACAGATTCATTGAGTCGCCTTAATTCTCAGTGTAAATTGTGCGAATGTTTTGCCTGTGTACGTGTGTGGTGTTTAGTCATCATTTTTGAACAATTGTAATCGGCTTTATACTTAAGTTGGTCTTTGTAATGTAGATGTATTTATTCTTAGATTGTTTTAATTTTTTGATTCCCTACTATAATAACTGAAAGAAATTGAAATTTGAATGAAATACCAAGTGGTCCATGAGAATAGGACTATTATCATTATCAATATGATAGAATTGGATGTAGATACTTTTCTATTATGAAAATTTATCATTATAACACATGACTACATTGTTAATCGTTTGTAATGAAAACGTGACTAATTGTCAGATTTCTCTATAAATTGCCTACAAACTTTGGGTTATAATGTAAAACAGTAGTGAGTGATAATTTCTTATAACATAGTGGCTTTATGGGGTAATATTGTGACTTTCTAATAGATTCAGTTGATAGCGTATTCCTACTTTTAAACCATCTGTTTCATTGAACAATGGACGACTGTAACATTAAACCACTAGCAGGTTTTCTTTTAGCCTGAAGATATATTATGTAATGGGGGGTGTAGAGAAATATGTAGAACGGTATGTGTCAGAGAATCTACGAGATAGTAAAACAAGAGATAAAGGTGATGAGCTTACGATTTTGCAAACACAACATGCAAATAAATTCAATAATAACACAGGTTTGAGATTAAAACAATTAAATAATGGAAACTTTGAGTTGATAGCTTGAGATTTCGAATGTTTAACAGACATGTATTTGAGTTTTGTGGCTTTCCTTCCCACTTAGCTATCCAAATGAATCACATCTACGTTTAGGTTTACTAGATATTGTATTTGGTTTGACTTGCTAAAACACAATAATACATCGAGAATTTTCTCGTAAATCATGGGTATTTCAAGTTACCATATTCAATATTTTATCGGTGTGAATAGGATGCCATCGGAGGACTTATTCAAAGGTGTATAGAAGCTTGGTCTTTAGCTGCTTGAGTAATTTCTACTAGTACTCTTCGAACCTCGTTTAAGTTTTGCGGTTAAATACTATTTCCAGGCCTCACACCCTTAAGTTTAACTAATTGCCTACTTGCTAAGGTGATCACACGTTTGTCCAATATATATAAATAATGAAAAATGTCATACGAGTAAAGGTAACTGTGACTGGTTTTTTCCTGATTTAATTCTTCACATGACATTTTCTTTTTTCTGATTGACCGCTACTATATTTAGTTCGATAATTGTCTCTATGCTTGAAGGACGTGCTTTCGTTATCATATATGATGAAATGTACCATTTCAAGCTGTTCTCCTTATTATACTTGAATATCAAGTTTTTTCTGTACATTGTCTTCTTCATGTGATAGGGGCCAATTAATTGTTGAAGTGTTGTGTAAGAACTTCCGTTATCGAGTTCTCAATAGAACTGTTCGTTTTCCAATAGCTCAATCGTCCCTCCATTCACTAGTATTGTGGGTTAACAAAAAACGCTTAAGAGACAAAATCTTTTTGTCAAAATATAACACTACTTAAAAAGCCTTTGAAAGACTAGTTCAATGGAGTATTTAAATGATATATGTTATTTCAGTTGCTATGATCTTTAATTTAATGTGTACTATTGGCTCTTTTTCTTCTCTTCTTTCTTTCATCAGAACATACGCTCTCAGTTTTTTCTTGTTTTTATTTTTCTCTCTCTCTTTGTGTTCATTTTTCATATTCTTTAGAAGTATGGAAGCATTGAATATAGATCGTGTGGTTTCAGGTGGATCAATGTCTCAGGATATTAGTGAGTTATTTTTGTTTGAATCGGGGAAAGGCCAAGTTATTGTAATATTAAATTATTTGTAAACGCTTTATGAATCCTTCATAATACAGAGTTGAAGCCTATTTCAATACGAATATATTTATTTTCAAGTTCCAAAGTAATTGAAATCGATAGTTAGTGCTATGTATCTTAAATTTGATGAGTTCCAGTATATTCCTTCATACACGTCTTTTCATTCCTTCTTCTCCAGTCATATTCTCTATGTTAAGTCTCCGCTAACATGTAAGTAATGCTTTGATATATTTATTATTCAGATCTAGGGCGTTGATATTCAGTTGAATTTTACGATTTCTTTCAATATTCACTGTGTACAAAGTAGATTGTAACAAAAAAAACTAATTGGTTCACGTACTATGTACAAATAAACCCCGCAAACTTAACATTTTATTTTTCATTCTATCACAAAAATGAATTTTCTCCAAACTTTTTAAATGTCTTGAACACCGACCACACAGTTATTTATCTTTCACTTCCTGTTATGAAAGATGAAAGTCATTCATTTCTGTATTTCGCATAAAATACTTGAGAGTAATTTTCTCGATTTTGATTGGATTGTTCTAAATCTACACTTTCACTGTACTCAGTTTTCTATGAAACATAAATAAGTTGTCAATTGAAATTCATAGATTACAGTACATTGTATCTATGTATGTTACTTTTATAGTCACGTGATTTATGCGTTGTAGTAATGAATATACTTGTAACCACTGCCGGTGTTCTAATCAGTGACATAGAGGAACGTCAGAATTTATGCAACCTATCGATAATATGAAAGAAGACAGCAATGGATTAGTTGATTTATTGGTAGTATCTTAGGCAAATCATAAAAGAAATATTTAAGTGGTAATTTGTGGTTTTTACAGTCCTACTATTATTTATCTGCACGGGTTATATCTCTAAAGTTTTCCACACCTTAGAGGTTGTTTGCGGTCATATAACGCAGACTATATGTTGTTTAAATAACTAGGCTTAAAGTTCAAATCCACATTATGTTTGTCTTTTCTATTATTAGATTGTTTATTACGATTTCAAAAGTAGAGAACTAGTTGAATTCAATGATTTCAAACAAGTTACCTTGAATTGTTTACTATCAAGTCTAGCACATATACAAGGTCGTTAGAAATACATGTCATTATTTTACCGTTAAAAACGTTATCTTTGTTTTTATACACCTAGCATACATTTTGTTTTAGTAATCAAAAATATAGGTCACCCAGACATTGATAGCATGTAATAAGTTCTATGAGATGAAAATAAGAAGTTTAATTATTTATTCTTTGAGGAATCCAAATGATATTTTGAAATGTCTAGTGATATGTACACTACCAACTTTTCCATATTTAAAATTCACTTTTATTTGGTCGGCGGTAATTATTTTCTGTACATAACCTCTTATTACATCATTCTATGGTTTGGAAATGCAACCTTCGAAGGTTGAGAACATGCGTAGGTCGGTAGGATAGGTAGTATTTGATCATAAACACCTTGAGGTTATACTTCAGATTTGCGTAATCAACGTGGTGAATAATTCTAGAGTTTAGGCGTAGAGTACCAGGTAAGAATGATAGATCGATTAATGAGCCTATGAATAAATTTGAATGCTTTACTTTCACGTGAAGTTTGATTTGATGATGTTGTTCAAGAGAGCAATGAAAGCTTCACGACTTAAACATTCACCTCTGAAAACAAAATTCCATTTAAATAACTTTCCTGAGTTACAAATTTTCTCCATTATCTGGGAACAATGTTTTTTTTAAAAAAATATTTATCCTTTATAAGGTAATTTGTTTCTCAGATTGTTGGAAAGTTAAGATAATGTCTATCTGACGACACGACTACGTTATAACCGTTGTTAGTTTTGTCTTTGTTTTTACTAACCGCACGAGATAATGACGTGACCGTAAACCATTTTCACATCTGTTTTATCCATCTGATATTTTAATCGTGTTTGTCATATGAATAAGAGAAATGTATCACACTGTTGTGACCTAAGGAAGCTTTATCGATTATAGTTATCTCGTAAACCCAAAGAAATGTGTACTTGTCAAAGCGATTAGAGCAATAATGAATGACTTCGTAAGTTCACATCGTGTCTTGGTTTGGGTGCTCCTAGCCTTACATAATTCTACTTCTGCGGTATCTTGTACAGAACGCTAAGATAAGTGAGGACTGGGCTTGGGTAACGCGTGTCTCAGTCACATTGTTAGTTAAATATGCTCAAACAATCTTTGCCCCCAAATGCCCTGCTACGGTCGAGGGTTCTGGAGTCAGCTATCCCTCTCCAAATGCTCTCACATGGCCTCGCATATACAGTCACTGCCATGAAAGTCCCACTCACTGCATTCTCGTGGTATTGCTGTTGTTTACGAAACTGAGAGAACGAAAAGCGAATATCTGGCGCTTTAACCGGGATGGACACGGAGGATCCATCTAGGGGAGTTGGAAAACCCTGATTCCAAACCGACTGTGCACATGTGGTCCAGGATCCTGAAGGAACAAATGGCGTATGAACCAATCGTTGGTCAACGGTTACCATGGGACTGCATTTCCTGACGTTGCTACACTGCCTGGTGGATTAGACTTTCAGGTCGAAGACTCTGAATGTGGCCCTTTAGGAAGACTACCTTCTTTGGTCTGGGCACGCGGACAGTATCACAGCCTTCACACAAATCAAAGATAACTACTACTGGCGTGATTGTTATTGTGTGACATATATGTATTTGATGCCCCCTTGTACCAATGTTTATGTGTTCAAATAAGTGTTCATAGGTTCACTTACATCACAGGTGATATAATTTGGTAGAGTCTGAGTAAACTTTCTATATCCTTGTGAAGATTTAATCCGGAATCAGTTAACCACCATGGATAATGGGACCCTCTAAATAGGCGATCAACAACGTCTTTCCATAGACCAAATAATGTCGTATAACACTTGGAGTAAAATCTGATTTTACGAATAAATAAACACATGTCTGTAGTGTGGCATCGAGTCGCGGTTGACTATGATCACCACTACAGGAAGACTACGTGCCAGTTAACCGACAAGATTCCTCGTACGTCAAATATCAGAAGGCAGTTGATGGCTGTAGTCGAGATGTATTTGTTGGCGATTTCGTGGTATCGAAAGAATACCGAGATCGTGCCACGTTACAACTGTGGTTACTGAGCGTGAACGAATTCGTGCAAGGTCACAATCAACGGAAGAATGTTTGTGTTTTGGTACAGTTAAACAAACAAGTACGGTAAAACAATCCCTGGTACAATTGGTTATAATAATAATTGTTTCCATTACATCAATCGTATTCTCTTGATAAAAGTAGATCACTACATGTCAAACATTCTAGTCACTCAAAGTGTTTAGACAATTTAATCAGTAACTTCATTAAGCAGAATTATATACTTTAAGTCATCGAGAGAATCAGCAAGTAGAAAATTAATGTCATTCAATGCTATTTAATTGGTTTTACTTCACTGTGATCAACAGTGAATACACTAACAAGCTCATTTTATCAGGAACTAAATAGTTGCTCATACTCTGGCATATACTGTGGTGCAAATAATTCTTTGGTTTCTTTAAAAGTTAACTAAGTGTCACATACATTTCATCATTCAGTTGTGTTGTCAGTGTGTACACAATTTTCAAACTCCAAGATACTAGGTCATTGAATCAGTTTGTTTATAATAATCAATAAATTTAATTAAAATACCTTATCAACTAAAATGAGAATCGATAATTTTTTTTTACTAAAACAAAGTAACAACAATTAACCAATCATTGAGTAAAATGATTGTATACGTTGGTGTACATGTTCAACTTACTGGACGTTTTTAAAATTGCACATTATATATATTTTTCTTGAATATGAATTAAGTTTAACTAAAGTGAACAAACAAACAATTTGTTTAAATTACTGAATATAAAAAAAGCTGTTAATTTCTGAAACTACTGTTTAACTGTCAATACTGGAACATTTATTCATTGTATCAGGTTCAAAGTTAAAATCCATTAGTTAAGACTTTGAAAGATGGAATAGTGTCGTTTAGAGTTCATGTGAAACTAGAAAATGACTCAAAGATGAATGCGCACATAAAACCATAATTCATATGATGTCAAGTGATAGCAACGAATGACCACATTTTACCCTGATCGATAAAATTCGATCAGTTAGTGCAAAAGTTTTAGTCCTACAGATTATCGGTCATTAATCAAATAACCTAATGTTAATATATTTTATTGATGTGGAATCGGATGACACATGTTTGAATCTCACAGAAAGCACCACTCCTCTAAAGAATGCAAGTGTGTCTTGGTAAGGACTGTTGACCAAAATTAACCCTAACTTCAGAACTTTCTGCCTATTACCTTTAACATATGTATTTCATTCAGTTGTTCTCTTGATCGTCTCACATTAGCTATAAATCAGTAAATAAACCAATCTCATAATGTGGAACTAGCTGTTGGACAATGGTTATTGTTAGTACACCCTATAATCGGTTTATTTCAAGTCATATATTTCTTTTCAGTATAAGCTTGTGAATGTGGTTCGATTTCATTGAAATCACGAACCGACCAATGTTAAACAACCATTGCAAAACTGAAAGCACTGGATGACTGGTTCGTCCTATCATGAGGCTTCCCGACAGTACGGATCAACGACCTCTCATCAGGGATTAAATCCACGACTTTTGATCTCGAACATGAATGCTCAACCCCTGAATCACCAAGCCGAGACCAATCATGTACAAGTTCAACTTCAATCAATCCATGATACTCCTCAGCCACCCATCTTCGATTTCTTTCCTTGGGTACCTACCTTCCTCGCACTTGACACCGTTAAACTGTGCTGGTCATGGCTTCTGACTAGAAGTTCGACAATTTTCTCTCAAAGCTAGTCGCTAGAGAGCACATGGTGATCGTCAATATAGGGTTTTGGAGATTGTTGAATTTCAGCTGCCTAACTTTTATTGGCTCGTGATTTCTATGGAGCGAGAGTTTAATTGATGGAGGTTATTCTCCAAAGAAAGAACGAACATGAAGTAACCAGAAATGTTAGATAACTCAATCTTTTCTTGACACAAACATCTGAACAATAAACCAAATAACAACAAAGATCAGTGTGGAAATATTGATTGGGAAAAAGTTACGTTTACAAAAATGAGATAATTTGAGGTCTTCTCTGGATTGACTACTTCCTTACGTTTTTGTTGTTCAATTTTTTTACTCTTTTCTCTCTGAACACATAGGTAACAGTAGTGAAATTACCAATACATCTCCACTGGGACAACAACCATCTACATCTCAAAGAAAACTTGATGAATTAGTGTCAATATTTCCTAATTTAAAAGCAAACATACTTGAGGAATTTTTATCACTTGCACATGATAACGTTTCATGGGCAACTACATTGATTTTAGATAATCATACTAGCGAAAGAATATGTCAAAAAATTGAGCAGAATTCTAATCTAGTTGGAAATAATTTATTGTTATGTAAATCTAATGTTAGTCAAACTTCTGAACATCCATCGACAGAAGTAACAGAAGCGGCCTTAGATCCTGCACCGCTATCACCAACAACTTGTACGCCTAGTTTTTCCAATATCTTGGAAGACAATACAAATAATGTTGGCCAAACTACTTTGTCATCTGTAAAAGAATCTCAATGTGAAAATGAAATAGGCCGTACTTTTAATCATCAACATGGTATTAAGTTTTCAAGAAGTTTTCTACAAACAGCACATGAAGAGTATGCATTTGGTCTTGGCTTATCAGATGTTGATATATGTAAGTTCAATTGACAATTTTTTAGTTACGATACTTATTTACTCCTGTTACCCTTCATGGAGGAACATAGTCCACCCACCAGTAAACTCCATCCAACTGTCCTGAGCTATCATTTCCAGTTGTTTCCAGTTGCTATCCAACCTTTTCATGTCTACTTCCTATTCTCGACGTATTGTGTTTTTTGGTCTTAATCTTTTCAGTTTTCCTTCACGATTCAAAGTTAGGGCTTGCCTCATGATGCAGCTAGGTGATTTCCGAAATGTATGTCCTATCCACCTGCAAAGTCCTTTCATAATTTCCTCTTCAAGTGGAAGCTGGTTTGTTCTCTCCCACAGTAGACTGTTGTTAATGGTATGTGGCCAACGAACATGAAGTATCTTGAATCGGCAATTGCTTATAAGTACTTGTACGTGTTCGATGATGGTTGTATTAGTTCCGGAAGTTTGAGCTCCTTACAGTAGAACTGTCTTGACGTTCGTATTGTAGATTGTGAGTTTGATATTGGTTGAGAGTTGTTTTGAGATGCAAATGTTCTCCAAGTGTAGGGATGTTGTTCTTGCTTTGCCGATCCTTGCCTTTACATCTGTATCAGATTCTCCTTGTTCATGGATTATGCTGAGTAGGTGGTACGTGAAACTTTCGACCAATTGTGATTGTGTTGGTGTTCTGTGTGTTGTATTTGAGGATGTTGCTTTTTCGCCTGTGTTTGTTGAGGTCTACTGATGCTGACGCTTCTGTTACACTAGTTGTCTTTATCTGCATTTGTTCGTATGTATGTGATGGAGGAGCTAGGTGATCTTTGCAGTCCAAATCGTCTAGGTGCATCTAAGCTGTCCATTGTGTTCTGTGCCTCTCCAAAGATGTGAATGTATCTAATAGTCGTTAATTGGACTGAAAGGATAACAAAGCTAAGTTATAACCTGATCATTACAAAACTATGTGCTCGATTATAGTTTAAATATTGTTGACGATGAGAAACTAATTTTATTCATCAACTCAAGCAACTGAAAAATAATCGATGATTTTTTTTGCTTCATTATAACACTGTAAATTAACAAAAGTCTTTAGTTATCATGACTTCCATAAATGATCAGTATGAATTTCTTTCTATTCTCATGTTCGAAACTTTAACTTATTAACTAAAATTACAAGTCAGTGTATTAGGTTTTGAAATATATATCTATTATATAAGAGCTGATGATATTACTCTATTATTTACAATTCTCTTTCTATGAATAAGTTGACTAAATAAGCTGAGATATTTCTCACTGCTTGGATTGCATTTATCAACTAAGTTTTGAAGTAAGACAATAAGGTTTTTTGACTTTCAGTTATCGATTTTCGGAGATATTTTACCGTCATTTAGAAGCACTATTGGGCTCTGTTTTACTTACTTACTTACTTACGCCTGTTACTCCTCGTGAAGGAGCATAGGCCGCTCACCAGCATTCTCCATCCAACCCTGTCCTGGGCAATCCTTTCCAGCTCCTTCCAGTTGTAATTCATCCTTTTCATATCTGCTTCTATTATCCGACGTAATGTGTTCTTTGGCCTTCCTCTTTTCCGCTTCCCTTCAGGATTCCAAGTTAGGGCTTGTCTCGTGATACAGTTTGACGATTTGCGTAATGTATGTCCTATCCATTTCCATCGTCTTCTCCTAATTTCCTCTTCAGCTGGAAGTTGGTTTGTTCTCTCCCACAGAAGGCTATTGCTGATGGTTTCTGGCCAATGGATGTTGAGTATCTTGCGGTGAGTCCGCTCTCCCTCTCGAAATACTCTCACACGGCCGCGCGTATACAGCCTCTGCCAGGGAAGTCCTACTCATTGCCTTCTCGTGGCGGGGGTGTTGTTTACAAAAATGAGAGGACGAAAAGCGAATGTCCGGCGCTTTAACCGGATCACAAACCAATGGTGCACATGGGCTCCAGTATCCTGCGGGAACAAATGGCGTATGAACCAATCCTTGGTCACCGGCTACCATGGGATTGCATCTCCTTACGATGCTCCACTGCCTTGTGGGTTAGACCTTTAGGTCAAAGGCTCGGGGAGTGGCCCCCTAAGATAACCACCTGCTTCGGTTTGGGCACCCGGGCAGTATCACAGCCCACACACAAACGATGAACTCTATGTCTTTGGCAACTACTTTTATCGCTCCGAAAAACAAAAACAATCAATCGATTCAAATAATTATCATTACTATTATTGTCATTATTAATACTATTATTATTACTATTATTGTCGTCATTATTATTATTATTATTATTATTATTATTATTATTATTATTATTATTATTATTATTATTATTTCCCACATTATTCACCCTCTTTCATACTTATACAGCGGCTCGGCTTTGGTGGAAATCCGACTGTATCTAAACGTTCTCGAGTCACTGTCCGGTTGAAAGTTGTATGTTACCATCGAATATGAGTACTGAAGCAGTTTTTCTGAAACCACGTGCGCCATTCAAACTGGCTGCCTTCAACGTTCGCACACTTATGCAGGTTGGTCAACAGATAGGGCTGGCTATGTCTTTGGAAAGTCTTAATATTGATGTTTGTTGTCTATCCGAGACCCGTATTCAAGACTCTAGCGAAGTACTGCAAATTCGCTCTACATCTGTCACTTCAAAAAGCTTGTTTTACGTGCGCTTATCCGGGGACCCTGTGGCATCTTCGTCTGGTCTTGCAGGCGTTGGTGTCGCATTAAGCGCTAGAGCTGAGGCAGCACTAGTCGATTGGATCCCCATTAACAGTCGGTTATGTGCTGTTAGATTAGAAAGTTCCATCAAAGTGAGAAGAAATCGGCGTGAGAAACGATGTCTTTTCGTCATCTCCGCCTATGCCCCGACAGATTGCAGCCCGGATGCAATCAAGGATGAGTTTTACCACCAATTATCTGTTCTTCTCCAGAAAGTGCGTTCGACAGATATTGTAGTACTAGCCGGAGACTTGAATGCTCAGGTCGGGCGTCTAGGCACAGAAGAGAGTCGTTTAGGTGGCCGATGGGGACTCGTTGGTCGCAGGTCAGATAACGGGGACCGTCTACTGCAACTATGCACAGACCACAACCTGTTTCTGGCTAGCACTAACTTTCGGCACAGTCATCGCCGATGTGCCACCTGGCGTCCTCCCTCTGCATCTCAAGCCTGGACTCAGATTGATCACATCGCGATCAGCTACCGCTGGCGTGGTTGTGTACAAGACTGCCGCTCCTTTTGGAGTACCTATCTGGACTCTGACCATGCCTTGGTCTGCGCCAATCTTGCCTTACTTCTCAGTGGACAACGAAGTGAACGCCATCAACGGATTGATGTTAGCAAGCTGGTTGCAACTTCGGTTGCAAGTAAGTATCGAACCGAGCTAGCCTCTAGGCTAGCTACCACTCCACCGAAAAGTATAGATGAGCATTGGTTGCAATTGCATGACGCCATGAAAATGGCGGGAACAGTCAGTTGTGGGTTTGCGAAACGTCCCGCTTTTAAGCACTGGGTTTCTTCTGGTTCCTTACAACTCATTGAAGCCCGTCGGTCTACTCCGGATGACCGTGAGTTTGACCATAAACGAAGGATGTTATGTAAGGAAATCGGGCAAAGCTTGCGTAAGGACCAAGAAGCCTGGTGGTCGAAGCGTGCTAATGAGCTGGAAGCAGCAGCTGCATCTGGTAATTACCGGAAGCTCTTCCAGCTCATCCGAGCCACTGGCAGCAAGAAGTCTGGTGTGAGTGAAACAATCTGCGAGGATGATGGGATGCCAATCACTAACATCCATCGACGTCTTGGACGGTGGGCAGAATTTTTCGAAGGGCAGTTCAACTGGCCTGCTGCTCAGGCAACATCAGTCAGACTGTCCTGCCCTCCATGGCCGGTGACGACTGATCCACCAAACGAGGAGGAAGTCCGCAAGGAACTCCAACTCTTGAAGCGATACAAATCACCTGGCCCAGATGACTTACCTCCGGCTCTTTTTAAAGATGGTGGTGACTTTTTGACTAAGGAATTGTCGACGTTGTTCACAAAGGTTTGGGAACTAGAGAGTGTGCCAACGTCATGGAATGAGTCGATAGTTGTCCCTATCTTTAAAAAGGGTTCACGTCGTTCCTGTAACAACTATCGGGGGATAAGTCTACTTCCGATTGCGTCCAAGCTATTGGCTTCCGTCATACTTCGTAGGTTGTTCAAAACCCGAGAAAGATTGACTCGCGAGGAGCAGGCTGGTTTTCGTTCTGGTCGAGGATGTATTGATCATATCTTCACCCTCCGCCAAATGTTAGAACACCGCCATACTTATCAAAGGCCAACAATCGTAGTGTTTCTTGACATCAGGGCTGCCTTCGATTCGTTGGACAGAACTGTTCTCTGGGATTGTCTATTGAAGAAGGATGTGCCTGAGAAGTTTATTAACATCCTAAAAGCCCTATATAAAAACACCTCAGGCAGAGTGAGGGCATACAACCACCTTTCTCCATTGTTCCATTCGAGTAGTGGGGTTAGGCAGGGTTGCCCAATCTCACCATTACTCTTCAACTTTATCATCGATGACATTCTGGAAACAGCTCTGATGAATGTAAGTAATGGTGGTGTGGATCTGTTGCCTGGAGAAAGACTTCTCGACCTTGAGTATGCGGACGATATTGTCTTACTGTGTGATAATGCCCAAGGCATGCAATCCGCACTTAATCAGTTGGCAATCAGTGTCCGTAGGTATGGTATATGCTTTGCACCTTCGAAGTGCAAAGTACTCCTACAAGACTGGCAGGATTCCAATCCTGTACTCACCCTGGATGGTGAACAGATAGACGTAGTCGAGAAGTTTGTGTATCTGGGTAGCTGTATAAGTGCTGGTGGGGGTGTGAGTGATGAGATCAATGCACGAATAGTGAAAGCCAGAGCGGCTTATGCCAATCTGGGCCATCTATGGCGCCTTCGTGATGTTAGTCTGGCCGTAAAAGGTCGGATCTACAACGCGTCGGTGAGAGCAGTTTTGCTCTATGCTTGTGAAACCTGGCCTCTCCGAGTTGAGGACGTTAGACGACTCTCTGTGTTCGATCATCGCTGTCTCCGAAGGATTGCTGACATTCAGTGGCAACACCATGTCAGTAATGCAGAGGTTCGGCATCGTGTGTTCGGGCACAGAGATGATAATTCAATTGGTGTCACCATCTTGAAACACCGACTTCGGTGGCTTGGACATGTTCTCCGAATGTCGTCCCAGAGAATTCCACGTCGTGCATTATTTGCCGACTCTGGGACTGGTTGGAAGAAGCGGAGAGGTGGTCAGTGCATGACATGGTGTCGTGGCATGAAAGAAAGCTGCAAAGGACTGGCGTGTGTTGGTTCTTCACGACTCCCTGGTTGGGGTCTGAGAGATGGTGCTACACAGTGGCTAGAGACGTTATCAGATATGGCTCAGAATAGAAGCCAGTGGCGATCCTGCTGTAACCTTCTTTTACTTTCTTCATAAACAGTGGTTGTGTCTCCCTTACCTGAAAGATTTCTTCCGATTGTACCTTTGCGTTCCCTGATTACTAGCACATTACCTTACACCAATCTCTTCGTTATTGTTCTCTCTTTTTTTTTGTTGCGCTCCTTAGCTTTTTTTTTCTTTGTATTCCTCTCGAATTTTCATTGTTTTGTGTGGCGCATATATATTGGCGCTCCCCTGTACCAATATTCATGTGTCCAAATAAATAAATAAATAAATCTTGCGTAGACAGCTATTTATAAATACTTGTACCTTCTTGATGGTGGTTGTTGTAGTTCTCCAAGTTTCAGCTCCATGCAGTAGAACTGCCTTGACGTTCGTATTGAAGATTCTCACTTTGATATTGGTTGAAAGTTGTTTTGAATTCCATATGTTCTTCAATTGTAGGAATGCGGCCCTTGCTTTGCCAATCCTCGCCTTTACGTCTGCATCTGAACCTCCTTGTTCATCGATGATGCTTCCTAGGTATGTGAAGGACTCTACATCTTCCAGAGTTTCGCCATCAAGAGTGATTGGATTGCTGTTCTCCGCTTTGAATTTGAGGTCCTTGGTTTTCCCCTTGTGTATGTTGAGGCTTACTGATGCAGAGACTGCTGCTACACTGGCTGTCTTCATCTGCATCTGTTCGTGTGTACGTGATATAAGAGCTAGGTCATCTGCGAAGTCCAGATCGTCTAATTGGTTCTGAGCTGTCCATTGTATTCCATGTTTCCCTTCAGATGTCGAGGTCTTCATAATCCAGTCGACCACCAGAAGAAAGAGAAAGGGAGAGAGTAAACAGCCTTGTCTGACCCCGGTCCTTACTTGGAATGCATCTGTCAGCTGTCCTCCATGCACGACCTTGCACTGTAGTCCGTCGTATGAGTTCCGGATAATATCGACAATCTTCTCAGGAACTCCGTAGTGTCGAAGAAGTTTCCATAATGTCCTCCTATCTACACTGTCAAATGCCTTTTCATAATCAATGAAGTTGATGTATAGTGACGAGTTCCACTCTGCCGATTGTTCGACGATGATCCGTAGTGTTGCAATTTGGTCTGTGTACGACCGATCCTTACGGAATCCAGCTTGTTGATCTCGAAGTTGAGCGTCTACTGCATCCTTCATCCGGTTCAGCAAAACTCTGTTGAAGACCTTCCCTGGTATTGACAGTAGTGTAATGCCTCTGTAGTTTTCACATTTGCTCAGATCTCCTTTCTTTGGAATCTTGACGAGGTGCCCTTCTTTCCAGTCCATTGGCACTTGTTCCTCCTCCCAAATCTTTTTGAATAGAGGGTAAAGCATGCTTGTGGTTACTTCGACGTCTGATTTCAGTGCTTCAACTGGTATGTTGTCGGGTCCTGCTGCTTTCCCGTTCTTGATTTGTCTGACGGCCATTCTAATTTCTTCCGTCGTTGGTGGGTTGACATCTATAGGAAGATCTATGTGTGCTGCTTCGATGTTCGGTAGATTCATAGGAGCCGGCCTATTCAGGAGTTCCTCAAAGTATTCTACCCATCTGTTACGCTGTTGTTGAATTTCAGTGATTGGCTTGCCTTCCTTGTCTTTGACCGGCCTCTCTGGTTTATTGTATTTCCCTGCTAGTTTCTTCGTTGTATCGTAAAGTTGTCTCATATTTCCTTCTCTAGCAGCTTTTTCTGCCGTCGTTGCTAATTCTTCCACGTATTTCTTCTTGTCAGCTCTAGTGCTCCTCTTCACTTGCTTGTTTGCTTCTATGTATTCAGCTTGTGCTTGGACTTTCTCTGCTCGTGTTCGGCTGTTGTTTATTGCTGCCTTCTTGTTCTTCCTTTCTTTGATCTTGTCCAGTGTTTCTGTAGAGATCCATTCCTTATGATGGTATTTCTTTAGACCGAGAACCTCTTGACACGTTGAAGTTAATGCTTCCTTGATGCCTTTCCAGTTGTCCTCCATAGTAGTTTCTTCTTCTTTCAGTAGATCTTGTAAGGCTTGGAACCTGTTGTTGAGAGCTATCTTGAATTCATTGAGTTTGACAGTATCTCGAAGGAAGGCTGTATTGAACCTTGTAATGCTGTCTGTCCAGTTCTTCTTTAGCCTCAGTTTCAAATTGGCCACAACTAGATGGTGAGCTGAAGCTATATCAGCTCCCCTGAGTGTGTGGAGCATTTTCCTCTTCGTGACCGGAGTATAGCAGCATCTCTCCCGTAGCTAGTCTTTTCTGTCCAGCTTGGGTCCAGTGAGTTTCGCTGATCCCCAGTACTGCTAAGTTGTATCTCCTCATTTCCGTTGTTATTTGACTGGTCTTCCCGGTTTCCCACATTGTTCGGACGTTCCATGTACCTATAAAAATTTTTGCTCTGATTGTTAGAAGGGGCATCGGCCTCGTGGCTTCCGAAGGAACTCGGCTTTCACCATGAAGCGTCATAATTCTTCTAAATGAGGACCTTCTAACTCTCAGGGCAGAGTTAAAATGGTTTGAATTATTTTTTCTGGTAAGCGTTTTTTTAGCGAGTTAGTTTTCTACGGGATGGGGACGCTAACCCCATGCCCAACCCTCCTCCTTTACCCGGGCTTGGGACCGGCAGTAACTCTAGAAGAGCTACAGGCGGAGTTGGGCTCTGTTTTAGAGGTCTAAAATTAATTTTACATAACTCCCCTGGTTTTCATTGGTATCTCAGCTGATTTTAATCCGCAATGTGTCAACCATCTTAACTTATGACAGTAGTTTGTAATTCAGGATCATATCAGTAGGTCTCTTGTTTGTTGTTTAGGGAAAAGAAAACTTTGTGAGAAACTAAGAAGATGCTAAATATTCTTTCAACCTTTGAATTATGACTATAAATGTATTCACATTGAATGTAACCTAATAATCAAGTACAGATTTATTTACTTAACTGTGTTAATTGTGTACGAGTTACTAGCCGTTATCAATTTCATAACAAGTAGACAATATATACCACAAGTGTTGTGACAATTACAATAATATTAAAGCAATAATCATCATAGAAATATTGAGTGGTGACGCATCAATTCCCATTGAATTAAAAGTGGTGGTTCTATGAATGAGAGATTTCATATCTTATCTGTCGAAAGTGATACGTTTTGTATTTAAGTGCTTAGACTCACATTTTCTAGCTACGTCCAAGTTCTCATAAATTTTAACTCTCTGGCTCTGATGAGAAGCAAATGGAGTACACGAAGTACAAAATATAACTTTACTTTCATATTTGAAGAGATTACGAGATCACCTAAAATTGGCGAACGGAACGAATAATCAACGACACAACGACAAGTTAAACTATTCCAATGCGTCCCAGCTCCGCTTACTGGAGGGAGAAGACCAAGTTCAGATGAGGGAAAGTTATATTCCACAAGCAGTTAGAAGCACGAACGAACTAAGCACACAACTCAATCATAATTGTACTACATAAAAAGGTCCTTGGGAAACGTCACAAAATAGCGTATTAAAAGAGGCAACGAACATTTAAGGTTCTTTCCAAGTGGAAAATAAAACTTTAAGGTAAAAATGGGCGTTTTGGCACGAAGACGAGAAATCCAAATTTCCAAAATAAAATCACAAAAATAAGACGTTTACCAAGTGATTACTGGGAGACTAGCATCCGCAATAACTTCGAAGGTTACTTGATGTATTGAATTATTTATAAGTTTGCTCGTGATTTTAAGATCCGAAAAATTGCAAAAATTGCTAAACTTAATAACAAAGCCAGTAAGCACCCAATCATGGTACAACACAACCTATATTGTTCTAGAATTCTATCGAAAATTTCAAAACAGATCTGATTGAAAGAAGTATACTCAACGCTGTCTCAGCTTTTAAGGAATGTTTCGAGTCATTATTGAAGGGCTTCAACAGGAGAATAGCACTGTGCATTTGAATGCATTGAGTTTTTTATATTGGCACAAACTTATTAAAATGTGGTAGCTTAGTAAAATCTTAGTGTTTCTGATATGTAGTTGTGTGTATTGGTTATTTTCTACAGCTCCTGATGCAATTCCCGACTTTATCATCGATGAATGGACACCTGAACCTAATTTGATCAAAGAAATTTATGCCAGTTTTATGCGACATTTAGGTGTTCTCTCAAATAGCACAACTAGTGTATTAACACCGAAATTTCCGCCATCAAATACACGAAATTCAAATCGTAAGTTTAGTTAAAATGTGTATAATGTTTAAAATACCCTGAGGTTTTATGGCTAATAATATGGAAGAGGAAAAAACCAATAATTTATGGTATATATATATATATATATATATATATATATCAGTGTGCCATTTGATAAGTCTTCGAAATGAACGCTTGATCAGATTTCTTATCCGCTGCTAATAACCCCAGAATAAATCGAAATGGCAACTTGAACACAACAGAAAAGGTGCGAAGTGCTTGACTCCAAGGTTAGTTTATGTAAAGAGCGTTAGATGATGATTGGAGGTAGTCGACAGGAAACCCTAGACCCTGGATTCGATCCCGTGTTACCCAGCTTCACAGTCAGAGGACCGAGTCCGTCAGGGAGCATCAGTTCCCACAAGATTATGGGTACACCTTGCTGACGAGTGCCAAGTAGCACGAAACACGGGTCCAAGGTTTTCTGTCGACTACGTCCAACCGCTATCTAATCTCAATATAGTGCACGCAATGTCGAGTCACCTAGACTAGCGGCTACATTGCAACTTGGTCGATAGCATTCGATCTGCACTAAGAAGAACTTGACACAAATGACATTGATCACCACCCAGTGATCAATCAATTGTGATGTACAGAGCATGTTTGTAGTTACGATCTTGAGCTTCTTTAAGCCTCTGGAACTTTACTAAATGTGGTAGCATTATATGTAAATATCTAATCAGAAACGTGACTCGCTTTCTAGATGTTTCTAAGACGCGTCTATCCAATGCTATTTGGATAAAATGTTTTTCAGCGTTTTCTGGGCTCCTAAAGACTTTTCTGAGGAACACTTTGAAACTCTTTAACACTATTCTAGTTTGACAAGGCTCATGTAGCGTATTTTAAATTATTATGTCATACATATTGATTAAATTGCAGGAAAAATTGGACAACATCAATTTTATGTCAATGAATTAGTCAGTTATCATCAACTTATTTTCTCACACAAATACGTGATGGTCCAATTTGCCGTTCTATATCAATAAAACGAAAGAAAATGAACACGATAAACGTCGAATTACTTGAAATAATACATTAGCAATGGTAATCAGAAAGACTAGGCATTTAGAATATGATTTGAAAAAATTATGAAAAGTTAGGTATGAAGGAATCCTTGAACTAAGGATCTAGAACTAGAACAAGATAAAGAGTAAGTACTTCTGGGCTATTATAACAGATTCTAAACTATTTTACCTAAGGTCTCCAACAGCTGGTCGCTGTTATCGCATAGATTCCAACCAAGTAGTCTACATTTACTAACACAGGTCAGTCTGACGGTAAATAACTTCATGGACTAATAACGCGTGGTTTGGCTTCTCATAACTTTTTTCTAACTTAATCGTAAGCCGGCTTGCATAACTGGTCTTGGTAAGTAACAGTTACATTGCATATTTATTATCGAAAATGTAGAACCTACATGTATTTACTACTTTTACGCACCATTTTTCACTGACAAACGAATAAAGAGAACTGCTGCTCAGTATGTATGTAGGATTAACTAAACCATTAATTTTCTGCTTTATAGTTTGTTTTTGTAAACCTAATGAAAACTATACTACTCTTGTGCTTTGATTTGTACCTCAAGTGAGAAAAAGAGAATTAGACGAAGTTAATTAAATCTGTTTGAGGCGTATGATGATCCTGTTTCATACAACTAGTCCTACTACTATTAACGCCACTATTACCATTTTAAATGACTCTATCAATTGTATGTCGTATAGTACACCGTTGTGCATGAACTGTGAATAGAATATATGTATTTCAGTCCGTTAAATTTTGAAAACGTTTAGATTTCGCTACGTCGACCGATTTTAGAATTCTTTTATTTCACTGAAAATTAGTTAGTGATTACACCTAGTTAGTGGTAGTCAGAATGGACACTTGTATTAGCTGATTGGGATATCGTAAATGAAATTATGTATAAAAAGTTTTATTCGGCTCACCACTTCTATATCTGGATGTGTCGTCGCTGTTGGGTTCGCAGTCTTTCTTCTTTTACTTGGTAATCGTGCATCACTCCATCTCCTATAACACAAAATACAATAATTATCATACAAATTTTCACACACAATAATGTCACATAGAGGAAACTGCATAGAGTTACTGTAAAAATACACACACTAAATATAGTTCACTTGAATTGATACAGGGAGTACAATTGTTCAACTGAACAAACGTTTACACTTGTCATATTGAACAACGTTTATACTGATTTGGTACACTGAACAAAGTTCTCACCTATCATCCTGACCGAAATCCAAAATGAATTGGTGTAAAACATTATTAACCCAAACAATTTTACTTTTTCATCTCAGCATATCATATATAATTGAAAAAGATTCCTTCCACTCTATTAGTTGACCGACTAATGGCGAGTATCCAGTTAACGTATATATAATCAAGGCTTTATACATTAATAAAATAGTCTTATCCAGCGCGTAACTAGGTATACATTTCTTATTTATTTTCTGAAAAATGTTTATTCAAACAACGAAAGTAACCAATGGTGTCATTGAAGAATGAAGACAATTCAGCGGGGAAAATCTTCTTTTCAGCTATATCATTTACCCAAGCTTGTACAATCGTATTTATAGTAAATTTATAAATGAAATAGTCCACTGAAAAAAATAAAAGGACAATTACCTTATATTATGTGCCAAAGACAATTGAAGAGAGATAATAAGATGAAGTCAAATGTCAGAAAGATAATTGTCCACTTGACGATTATGAGAAAGGTGAAGAATACATTAAAAGCCTGAAGGTGATGTTAATGAATAATTAAAATTAAGACTAAAAAGACACGGGGGGAATATAATAAAATCAAATTACTGTTTATAACTGTTAGGGCCATGGAAGGATGATGGCTTGCAGGTGTCTCTTTTGCACACAAAGTTCAGTTTTGGAAATATGGATTACTAACGCTTCTGCGATGTATCACTTATTAATTTACTCTCTTTTTGAACCAAATTGTCTAATTGTACAGATGACTTTAAAGGACTCATCAGGTGAAACTATGTGATCTGAGTTTATAAGATGTTTTGATCTTATGCTTCTTTTTACTCTAGGACCATAATAAAAATTATTTTCAATAGATTGATTAGTGAGATTAATAATTAGTTTTGTCCCTGACTGATAAAATTCAAGTTAATAATGTGAGAAATAAGCTTCTGAAAATGAAACTTGTAATAAAAATTCAAAGCGAAAATCTGAAAATTGTACAAAGATATTTTCAAAATGACTATTGAGATGTTTGAAGACAATTCACTCTTTTCCTGTGATAAATATATCAGTATCCATATTTATTTCCTAATACTACTTGGTTGTTTGGTCAGACTGATTAGACTGTTCACATATGATTTATAATCAGAGGGGTTTTGTGGAGATTGTAGTAATTTAATAATTGAATTCATGAGTCAATTGAATAAGACAATGGTAGACGATGGCGTGATTTCGTGGGTTGGTTGAAGTTAGACATTAACATCGTTGGATGTCGACCAGCTCAGTTGTCTATAGGTTAAGAGTTCGTGCGCGAGACTCATAGATCCTGGGTTTGAATCTCTCAAGGCGGGATCGTGGATGCGCACTGTTGAAGAGTCCCATACTAGGATGAAACGGCCGTCCAGTGTTTCTGGGTTTTTCATTTGACTCATGAATTCAATTATTACATCTTATTTACTTTATATTTCCTCTTGAATCAATTTCAGAAGAGACCGAAGCACTAGTCAACTGATCACATAAAACATTGAGAAATTAAAGTCGTTTTTTCTGTATAAACCACCCAAGACAATTTGATAAATACACATTTGGTCAATCATGGGTGAAAATAAATATAATGAAATATTGGTGACAGAATCACAGGATTAGTCAGTTTTTGTCAATAATGTTAAAGCTTTATTAGGAACACAACGTGCAAGAGTTTTTTTCTATATTATTGATCAAAAATTATTTTTGCTAATCTAGTTCTGTTTACGAACAACGTTGATTCGTATGTCGATGTTAAGGCTAACTAGTTTTCATATTATCATAATCTGTTGGCACAACAGATATTTGAATATAGCCGGAACAACAATTGAGGCAGGATAATATGAATTCATTATGTTTCGTGGTTTCTCGTCAGCTGCCTACAACCATATGCGTATCAAGTGTAACTTCGAGGTACGATGATATATGAGACAATTGATATTGATGATGGAAATAGATAAACATCATTCTTGTGGATCTTCGAAGCGTAGGTATATCACCTAATTTACACCTGTTTCTAATTGTCACTTTGACATGTAAGATGTTATATATTTTCTGTCTTGTTTACTAACTTTCTTTTCTTGGTCTATAAAAGCTATATTGAATGTCTAACATTTTCTGGATAACCTGTAAATTGTTTTAGTGAGCTGATTGAAGAAAATTGACTCAATTAGATTATCTAACGTAGCTAATAAAGTATGGGAGTTAGTAGATCCATTACTATTGGAAGAGGACAATTCGCAACACATTCTTGTGCAGGTTACTGGATCAATCAGGAAGTTATCTGCGTAACATATCAGTTGTAAAACGTTCGTTTATTTATTTTGATGTGTCGATTAAATCTTTAATAAAAAAAGCTTATTGAATAGGAATGTTTATTGGCTTGTTTCAACGGTTTATTGGAGGAAATCTTGATCTTGCTGAGAAAACCGAATTAGGGTTTGATAGTAAATAATCTAAACTAGATAATTCTACTTCAACTCGAATATACGTTCACAACCTTGTAGGGGGTCGAACCTTAAATCTTCAAGTTTCAAAGTAAGTTTTGAAGGCTTTGAGTCTAATGTTTAGTAGAGGCTATGGATGTGTACTGCTGAAGAGTCTTATGTTAGGACGAAATGGTTGTCCAGTGACTCCTGAATTTCAATAGCTGTCTAAAAATGGTCAGTATCTGATGTGGACTTTGAAATCTTGACTGATTAGTGAGTTATATGATACCTTTTTTCTATATCCTGAGAGAGAACTAACTCTTGTATTTTATTGTTCCTTAATCTTTCTGTTGATGACCTTCCGATTGATTCCAATTGATGATTTAAACCTTTTTTCGGAAAAATGTCCTCATTTATTTTCAGAAAATACGAAGAAAACTACTGTAACACCATCAAAAAATATAACATCAAAGAGATCATTTTCAACATTCTTACAAATTATGGATGATGAAGAAGGTCTACTGCGTTCTGTAGAAGATTTTCGAACGGTAACTACACTACTTATTAATTTGAATTATTTAGTAAATTGAATAACTCTATCTTTCATCTTCATTTATCTTATTAGGTTTGTTATCGTTTTTCCTTCGTTAAAAAATATTTGTTGGTAACATTCTCTTTGTTGCATCTGTAGTTTACTACAAAATATTCGAGTCTATGCATTAAACAGAAAACTTATTAACCTCTACTTGTTTTAATATACATATGTTCAACTTGAAACGGAATTTTACATGTGGAGTTTCATCTACTTATGAGTAGCATAACTTGGGTTTGGCTTAATCAGTCTTTATCTTTGATGATGTAAAATAAGTTCTTTATCATTCACCGTGTCAGTATGACATGTTATGAAATAAAATTACTCATCTTACTGTTTAATAGTATTGTATAACTTCACAAAGAAACTTAGAAAGTACTGAAATAGATTTCTTCCGAGTTCATGGAGGCGTGATACTTGTACCTACAAATTATCACTAAATATTTGATCTTGGACAAAATTTTGTAAAATCATGTTACCAACTTATTTAACTGCTCAAAAGTAGTTTAATAAATAGTGAATTTACATCACTCTGTCAACGTTCAGTGATACCGTTATTGACTTTGGAATTTCTATGCTGCTGTCGTTAGAGAGATGACAAAACTAACATTCATTGTAGTTCTATTTAACTTATGAGATCCTTCAATGTGTCTACCTAGTTTTTTAATATTTGTATTAACTGTTTCTCAAAGCTTTCACAATATTTCTGTACAGATTTACTGAAAGGTTCATGAAATTCCTCAATATTCTGAGAGCCATGTAAATAAAAGTTTCTGATCTGAGTAGTGATGTCCTCCTCCTTATGATAAATGATATTACTTCTTGAGTTTCACACAAAAACCTGGAAGTCCCTATCTTTATGCTGATTGGCTCTTCATAAAATTCCACATCCTGACCGAACTATGAAACATTCAATTGAATTTCTACTGGTTTTAAAACTTTTAGTAATCGCTTCAAGAGAAACAGATGAAAACTCATGTAATTAACCAGTCGACTAAAAGAAAATCGGTCAATTCCCGAGAGTCAACTGTTTTTTTAATTGAGAAAAATGTTACAATAACACATATATAAGTGAACAATACTGTTTCCGTTTAGACCTCCATCAGGTTTTACTTTAATACATAGCAGTATTTATATCGAACCACACAAAACAGTTTGTAAGTCATTAATAACAGTAAATTAGATTATAAAACTTTACATGGTGAGTAAAAAGTACAAATTTACATCAAGATAATAGATGCTCCAGTAGTGGTAGGAATAATAAAAGCATGAATCGATTTTCCAAGATAAGAAGTAGGTTAGGGCTGTGGAAAATGGACACTAGGATAATAATCACTAAAGTCATTAAAATTACGTAATAAGTGAGTAAATAATCAGATAGCGAAGACTGTATACTAAAGGGTAGTAAAGAATAAAGAACAAATGAAGGATGTAAAAAGTTAGTAAAGTCGTTTACTAGATCTTATCCAACTAGGGAGGAGACAGATGTGTTACAGATTTCTTTTGAATACATAGACTAGGGTTGTGGGTTCGAAAGCTTACAGCTTCTTAAATAAAGTTGAAATTATCCTAACTATGATCTCCACAACTTCGTAATAACAATTATCATGCCCTTACTAGTGACTTGCTTTGAGAGGAAATTGTCGAACTTCTAGTCAGAAGCCATGACCAGTACAGTTTAACGGTATCAAGTGTGAGGAAGATAGGTACCCAAGGAAAGAAATCGAAGATGGGTGGCTGAGCAGTATCATGGATTGATTGAAGTTGAACTTGTACATGATTGGTCTCGGCTTGGTGATTCAGGGGTTGAGCATTCACGTTCGAGATCAAAAGTCGTGGATTTAATCCCTGATGAGAGGTCGTTGATCCGTACTGTCGGGAAGCCTCATGATAGGACGAACCAGTCATCCAGTGCTTTCAGTTTTGCAATGGTTGTCTAACATTGATCGGTTCGTGACTCCAATGAAATCGAACCACCTTCACAAGCTTATACTGAAAAGAAATATATGACTTGAAATAAACTAGCTGTTTCATTTTAGTGGTTGTGCTGTATCCTATGTCATGTTTTGTCTCACTTATTTGTTAATGTTATGTGTTGTTTACCTTTGTCCGCAGTCCCTAAATACTCCCGTCATACGTTTGATATTAAACCGGTTGATGTCTAAATTTCCTGGGACACAAAAAAATGTTGTTGAAGAAGCATTTGTTCGATGCGAGTAAGTGGTTTTTTTTCGCATATTTATTGTATGTTAATTGAGATTACTTTGGTTCTCGTTGGTGAACATATGAATTCAAAAGATCTGGAGATTTGATACAAACCATTTGATTGATTTGTTCCTCTTTTTAAATGAGGTTTAGACTATGGATAGAGGATAAAAAAGATGCATTTTGACGAGCAAATAGAAAGCAAGTCAAACTTCTTAACCTATTTGAACTCACTTAGATGTGTCTGCATTCACACTCATAGCGGGACTCGAACCAGTTTTTAGTGTTCTCAACTCTTAGTACGATATCTGCTGAGCTACTGAGTTCAGATGGTCACTCGCTTGGGTAACGGCTTTAATATATTTAGACAATTTGTACAGATTACTCACTTATCAGCAAATATTGATCAAAATTTAGTCAAGAATACCAACTAGCGAATAACTCAAACCCTTTCTATAATAATAATATGAGATAGAAAATGTTTGTAAGCCAGGATGAGGATTTGGGATGTGTTGTGTTCTTTGAGCTTGATAGTTCAATCGCAAAGCTTTTATTCTCTTTTTAAGCAACATTGCCATCAATTACTTCAAAAAGCAATCTAACGACTGTGAGTTGACTCTATAATATAGTAATCTTACATTAGTTTTCAGATGTCGACATCATCCTGGGTTGTTACAACCTTAATAGTACAATATAGTCCTATGATACAACTACATAGGTATCAAGAATCCTGATGAATGAAATTTCTTTTTGAAGTATATGCTGACAATATTGTCTAGATAATGAAAACTTCACGATCAAACGATCATGCTCGAATAGCACATCTTCAATATTTTGTCTTTTCACGTTTGCCTAGATTGTGATGTTTCATTATTTCATATAACAAAGTTGTTAACTGACGTCAATACGAAATTTAGTTGTAAATATAGTTAGAAATAATATCCCGTATGTTACATTGATCAAGAACTCTATCAAACAAACTAAAACTCATATTACTATCTTACTTTATTTATGAAGTGTTAATTCTTCAGATTTTTCTGTACAAATAAATACATACAGCATTTCGTACTTGTCATATTAGTTGATAAACTCGGATGGATCACTTTAATATAAACTGAGTTGAGTTTTTTTTTAAAAATGAATGCAACTGGATAATTAGGTTATGTGAGACGTTACAAGTAAACTGGTCCTTCCTGACTCATCGTAGTTATGCTACTGTGTTTGATAACCCTCTTCGTCGTTGATTCGAACTCTCTTGTCGACCAAACTTTTATTTTATAAAATTCAATCAAAAGGTTTACATTGACTTTTCATTGTATGTATATGATCTGGCAACTATTTACATTAATGCTGTTCTATTTAGAGCATTTGACCTTATAGTTCCTGACAAAACGTAGTGAAAGTCTTTCAATTCTATACATTATAGAAGCTAATTGTTGTTACTGTTTGAATGATCTTATTAGGAAGCTAAAACATCGTGTAACCAGCTAGAGTTTCATACTATTCGTTGTATTGTGTTTAACTGTTTGGATGTTTAATAAAATCGGTCAAAATCCTACATAAGTATCTTGTATTTGTTAACACTTCTCATTTAAAAGATTCAAACATTTAGTCTCTAATTAATCCTTTGGATATGGAAATAGACTAAATACAATGACGGTTGTCTAATTACCTACAAATGTTATGTCCGTGTTTGATTGATCATAGTTTATTTCATAATAGTTCTATTTTGTATACCTTTGAACAATTTACTTTTGATGATTATTTAGTTTTATAAACTATTTTTGGTTTGTTTATGTTACATCTAATCTTATATTATATACACTTAATTATTTAACTGAATATTCGAACAATAGACACTTTGTGTGTGTTTATCGTGTTCATTGAATATGTACACACTCCCTGCGTGTTTTCAAATTGTCTACTGTTATCCACGGTATTGCACGATCATCTTCCATCGTATTCTCTGGGCAAATGCCTCACATCCGACACGGTTGAACCCTATCGGTCATGGATTCTCACTAGAACTCCCAGAATTACCTCTCGAGGTTAGTCACTGGTGAGCACATGATAATTATCAGTATAGGGTTGTAGAGACTGTTGAGTTTTGATTAAGATTATGAACTGTTGTATTTGCTTGGCTGCTCCCTTTCTAGTTTCACTGACTTACTAAAATATACTTTTCTGTAAACTTCTCCCACTGACTATTAGTTTTATACCATCTTGTCCAAAGTGATTGGGCCGTTTGAATCGTGAAACATCACGAGGTAGTATAGAACAATAACTATTGGAGTCAGATTAAAGCCTAAAGACTTACCTCTATATGTGTTAATTCACTTAAAATGTATTTTTCTTGAAAAAGACCCCCAACAACAATCAAACAATGTTTTCTTTAGATTTGATGAAGCTCGGACAGAAGTTTATCTTTTAACTTATTATAAATCAACTATTGAATCAGTGACAAAGTCTACGACAACAACAACGTCGACAACCACTAACAATTCATCGTCTATTCAGTGCTGGAATAACATGTCGTCAACTGTGAATCAACAGTCTATCAATTCAGCTTTTATACCTAATAATAGTGATAATAATGGCAATAATATTAATAATAATTTGGTTGGATTAGATTATCATCAGATTACGGAAGAAAACTTAAGTTTACAAGAAATTCAAGATGAAGAGGAAGCGCTGAATAGATCTATTGAAGATCAGAGAGATGTATGTAATTTTTATTAATTCTAAATTAGTTATTATTACATTACACGATGCTTGATTCACATACATACGTTTTTTTATTCACTTGGTCAACCACCCATACCAATAAGGAGACTGAAAAATAACTAGAAAGCTGTAACCAGCCAAAAGAATGAAAAATTAAACAACTCATTAGTATATATACGTTTGTCCTGCTGACCCAGACAAGTGGATATAGTCTGTGCTCTTGACTAGAAACATAACTGGCTCCCTTCAATAGCACCTCTCGTTTGTAATTTTTCATCTGCTGTTTGATCTTGTAATGAAATTTAGACACAGGCACATGATTTATGCCTAGACTAGTCTATCCTATCAGTTATAGAGATAATAATGGAAAAAGTCAGATTTCGTCGCAGATCAACATTAACAACAATTATGTTGTACTGTTTGGTTGTTTTGTTTTTGCTTGGGGGGTTCTCGACAAGACGCATGTATAACTTCCAATTGTTTGAAGATAGTCAACATGGATTTGCATCTAAAGTTCTATGACATACTTCGAATTTTTTAGATCCAGAGTTTTGACAATTCCTTAAATAAATCCCTATCGATTATATTATGTACGACACAGGAACTGATAACGCCTAAAATAACAAAGAAAGCTTCTCAGCACAATCATTCAGATTAGTTTAGTTAACAAAATACGATTAGATGCATCTACTTATGAGCTGAAAATTTTCTCGATCATTTCAAAATCTTATAAATTGTTTATAGGATAGTTAGAGGGTTGGAAAGCTCAAATTCTAAAGATATTACTTTTTTTTATGCTTAAGCACATCATCAACGTATTGTGTTTATTTTGTTTTACTAAAACTAACTCAAATCACGAAATTTGCTCATCTAAACATAACTAATTGTTTCGGTAATCAATTGTATTGTTATATAGTTTTTTTTAGTATGTCCCTAAGAAATTTTCATTGTAATGTGGAACAGTTATTTAATGCTCTGCAACTCTTCATCATTATTTGATTGATGTCAATTTATGACATTCTGATGATGTGGAAAAAAAAATAAATCTAAGATCTATTCATTGTGTAGACTTGGTGGATACCTATTATATTTTCAAAGAATAATTAAATGTATATTCCGACATATATACTATCAACGTATGCGTGTGATATTTGTGCATGCGTGAAACATACACACATATGATATTCAACACTATCACGTCCTTTTTTATACCTTCATTTTCTTCAATTGTTAAAAAACGGTGTACACATTCTTAAGGATGGTTACATGGTATGAATTAGTTTAGTTCACGTTAAAATATTTAGTGTGATGTATATATAACTAATTGTTTGATCTCTGAGTATTGTTTAGTATTATATTTGTCCAGTCATTTTGAGCTCTGATCAAATTTTGTTAAAGTTTTAATGTGACCACTTAGTCTGATTGACTAGTCATTACATGCAATATGTTGAGAATTTAGGCGATTATATTTAGTTGGCAGAAAACCCCAGGCTCTGGTTTTATGATACTGCTTCGAATTCCACAAGGAGCATCAATTCGCTTAAGATTGTAGGTATACCTTGCTAAGGAGTGTCAGCTAGCACCCAATCTATACCCATAGTTTTTATCAAACTACTTCCAGCCACCTAACATCTCAATATAGTGCGCAGGATGTCAAGTGGCCACATTGCAACTTGATCGATTGGATTCAATCAGTACACGACATTTTTCACTATTCAGTAATCAATTGACTGAAAATATTGTCATTCCAGTTTCATACATTCATCACTGGATTTCCAGTTTCTGTTCGAGTGCATCGCGGCATAGATATTGGATCGTTCACATGCTTACAATTATATCGATATGTTTTCTTCCATCTTAAAAATATGTCAATAAATAGGTTTCTTGATACCATTCTTATTGAAACCAAATGGTTTGAGCGACGAATTTCAAATTGTTGGGGAGTCCCAAAAAGAAGTATCCTCAATGTCTCTATGGGCACACAAAACGTCAGAAAATGGTTTATCTAATCAGGGTTGAGTAGAGGCTTCTCGTAAACATCTAGGAAATGAAGAATCATATGTTCCATTTTTGATTAGATGTTTACCTATACCATTACTACGTTTAGTATGTCTTCAGAAATTTCTAGAAGCCTAATGTCACACATAACTATAAGTGCTCTCGACTTTCTGTACATGAACTAACCTTAGAGTGAAGCTCTTACTCGTATTATGCACATTTTTTTCTCTTGTTCCACTTAAAGTGTATAAGTAGCTTGGGGTCATAGGAAGTTTCTTAGAAGGGAGCAATAAGCATTCCAGTAGCATATTTATTAAGAATCAATGTAGAATATTACAAATACTATATTCTTAAACCCTACCATATATTAACAGAGGTCAAGTTCTTTATTTTCTGAGGTATCAAAGTGTAGAAACGATTCTTCAATTCATAGAGTTGAATTAGTGATTAAACTCATGTTATAATTGAATATTGGTAATCATAATTCCATATGAGGATTATTTATTCTGGTCCATATTATTTTATGTAAAGAAAAATACTTACTATTTCTCCCCTACTTCTTATTCTACTATTATTACTACTACTACTCTCACTGTAATTATTATTTCCACTTTCTATCTATGTATAATCTTGTCTATTGATAAATTCTTTCATAGATCATATTTATTCTACATTATCCTTCTAATGTTTATCATCAAACATTAACATTATCCATCTATGACTTTTATTATTATTGTTATTGTTGTTTCACATGAGTTTTTGTATGGGATAGTTAGTTAGGCAACATAGATAGGTAGATAGTTATGTTTTAAGTGAACATTAACCTTTTCTTTTCATGTGTATTTTTTAAAATGGATTCCAATAAACACCAATGAAAATAATATGATTCCTTATAATTATTTCGTTTAATATATATATGTAACATTCAGCTTAATCAGATGCACATGTTAGTGATAAAGGGTAGTTGAAAGAAAGTAGAAATATATAAAAGAAATGTTAATATTGTACGGTTGTGGTATGATGTTGGTTTATTCCATCTTAATGATTTATTTACATATACAACGTCATTCTCTTAGATCTTGAGTTCTCAAATTATTCCGTACTTTTTGATTCGATGGATTCATTATTTCTTTTTGAATCATATTGTCTGTCTCTAACATTTCCTACTGTCATTAATAGTACTACTACTTCTACTATTCTGATATTCGTTTCGATAATTTCATTTCGCTTTACTGATATGACTTGAACCGATCTACAAAATGTGTCAGATTCTGAGCTGACTATGACTAGCTGTCTGATTGGATTGATACAAGGTCATCAGCTGGACTTTCCGCAGTAAGTGCGGATGATTTTGTATGAATAGATTATAAAATATAACACTGTCATAGAGTTTATCCACTTCCTCTCAAACTATGAATCTTTCTCGTTTTACAATATCACCGGTTTGAAACATTTTCCCCCTAAAAATTTCTCTACAAATAATGATGAATATAGAAAAGTGAGTTGTATAAATGTTGAGATTATTGCTAGTCGTATGTTTCTTCCCATTTTGGACTTATCAGTTGAGAGTATACTTAACTCAGTGTTGATGTTCTCATTAACAATGAAAAAAGCAGAAAAGAAGAAAACTCATAAATTTAGTCTACTCATATTTGAATAAAACTAGTGAAATGGTTGAATTTCACTCCATAAATTATAGATCTATTCTGTGTGACAGCATTTGTTTTTAGAAATGGTAGGTATGCAATTTATTTATCACTACTTGCTTACGATGTTGAATGATAGTACATTTCACACCTACATATCATTGTAGCACTATCAAAGTATTTCAAATTCAGAATAACATTAAATCCAAAACTAATAAAAGCACTTGTTTAGAATAGATAGATTATGGCTAGTATTGAAATCCGAGGCGCGCATTTCATTTTACTTTGGACTCGTCAGTCGGATCCACATACATTTACATTGGGACCACCCGGACAGGATGCATATGTATTGACAAAGACCAATGAAAATTCAGTCCGTTATATCAATAAAAAGATAACTCAAGGCCTTTTTAAAGATGGTATGAGAACATTTTTTATTTATACATCAATGATGTTCACAAGTTCATACGGCAATTTGGTTTCCTCCGTTGGATGAATAATAGTCATCAATATAATATATAATAATAATATTTAGTCACCAAATGAATAACATGAATTTAAGATGGTCAGGCCAAATAGTTAAAGCAAAACAACTGTGGTGTGACGGTAGTAAGGTGTTTCCTTCAGAAAACCAGCATAACAGCGATGCTGTCTTCCCACAAAGCAAGGGTGAGGTTAGAAAAGGTTGACTCTAAAAATGCACACCCCGCCTTATCCCATGGATATCTGTCTCCGGCGGTAAGGTCCCAACAAGTACGGAGCTAACATGAAAATTACCCACAAAAAGGTCATGTGTGACGGCCCTCAAGCAGTTGTCCCTTGGGCACTGCGGTCACACTCTCAGGTGACTAAGACCACCTCTAGCCCAATTTCCTTTTCAGGTATCTCTAGAAGAACCCTTCCAAGGTCTGGACAACCTGGAGCTCCAAGTATAATGACATTTTATGCGTAAATATATTTGAAATAATCTCAATGATAGAGTATTAAATAATTTCACAGATTGAAATCATGAGTCAGTTGAAGCTAGACCACCATGGAAAACCTGGAGGCACTGGACGGCCGTTTCGTCCTAGTGTGGGACCCCTCAGCAGTGCGCATCCACGATCCCGCGCCACGCGGGATTCGAACCCGGGACCTACTGGTCTCGCGCGCGAGCACTTAACCACTAGACCACTTAGCCGACATCCATCGGTGTTAATGTCTAACTTCAACCAATACACGAAGTTGCGCCACCGTGTACCATTGTCTTCAGTGAGCTGATATCTCACAACAGACCTGGTTGAACTACACTGGTAACGGCTTCTCACTAGAACTCCAGGAGTATCTCTTGAAGTCAGTCACTAGTGAGCAGATGACTGACTCATGATTTCAATCTGTGAAATTTCTAAAATCTCCACAATCTCCTTCTGATATTAAATAATTCCAAATTTTCGCTCGGCTAACTTGAACTATTCCAGGTAAATTACGGAAATCGATATTATTCAAACGTATATAAGGTTTCGTTAAATTCCATCACAAGACAAGTCTTAACTTGAAATCTTTAAGGCCAAAGAAAAATATGCAAACTAAAGAACGCATGACACCGGAAATTATGGACAAACATCACAATCATAGATAGTACTTGGTAACAATAGGAAAGAAGAGCCTGGGACAAAGTTACTTGAAGGTTCTCAGTAGGCATGCTATGCTTTACAGAGAGTATCACACTTAGGTAGGTAAGCTATACAAAATTTCAAAAAACAAAATCACACTAAAAGTCTGTTTTATTGATTAATACCTTGTTTAAATAATTGTCAATTATAGTTCAAGGAAGATCGTGGAGGAGTGTATTATTGAAATGTACAATACTCTACTTATGATAATCCTATACAACAAGATTTTCACAACATAATTTTCTGTTTACTATCATTTTATTTAACTTTTTTCTCAGTAAAATAGTGTTCAGTTGCTTTGTTTCTCCGTTTATTAAATAAAGTCTCTTTTTTAGCGTCTTCTAACATTGGCCAATCAACTTTGTTTGAGTCGTTTAAAAGCACAGTTTCCTGGAATAGATATAAATTATTTGGAAAATCTTTTTATTCGATTTGAGTAAGTATTTATTATTATTATTTAATATATTTTTGTGTTTCATATCTTTTAATTGAAAATTAGTTGGGCCACCGGTGATTTTGAATGATGAACAATGTAGATTCTCTTAATGTGTACTCGATAGTACGGTCACTGATGCATACAATGCTTTAAAAATTGTCCTGACGATGAACCCCAAGGAGAAGAAGAAGAAGAAGACAGGAGTGCAGTAAACTCTTTATACTCAACGAAGTCCAAATTAAAGAACAACTCTGTGTAAATGACAACAAGACAGGAATTTAGAACACAAGAAAATTAGAAGACTGTTAAGGGGAATTCAGATTATCTAGATTTTTGTTATTACAAGTTAGTTCTTTCGTTGAAAGATAACTTCGGTGATATCTGATATCTGCTGAAATCTGATTAGCTGTTTCCCTTTTCAATTCGCCATTTCTATCGTTTCTCAAGGTCAAAGGATATTACGAACTGAACAAAGTTGTTCCATTTCAACTTTTGACATTTGTCCGACGTATAAAGCTATCCTAAAATTCTTGTTTTAGCTACCTCATATTAATAGTTGAAATATTAACATTGAAGTGCTGTTGTTTTTCAGTTGTTGTTTTATCAATTCCGCCATATAATTCGTTTGTATTAAAATAAGCTCAATCATTTCGTAATTAACAATCACAGAGGACCTGTACTGAACCCTATCTCGAGGTAAATATAACACGAACCGAAAATAATAAATACCAATCAGAAAACAGAAAAGATCATATGGATGAATCAGTAAAAGCGGAATTTTATTGCAGTTTTTATTCCTGGGAAGAAATTCGCTTAGAAATTTCGCTAATAGAGACTAGATAACATGAAGTCTTCCATAAGCTATGATTATTAGAAACAGTTATAATAATTACTTCATCATCTGTTTCTGCATACTAACAATCTGGTTTACTTTACTCATGTTTCAAAACAGATCCGTTATATTTGTAAAATGCTTCATTTAAAGAAGAGAACATCGGTGTGAGTATGTGAAAGATCTGGTAGAACACAATAGATGATGAATACATTTTCATTTCAAGTTGTTTTCATTTATTATTCCTATGTTTGTTAAAAGTGAACTAATTGCGTGAAATTTCGAAGATTCTGAGTATTGGTTACTATTGATCAGCATGATGTACCTGGGAGCTGAAGGAAACCTCATACACTCTATTATGCATGCGTATACATGTGTGTATTTCTGTCGAGTTATTTAAGTGGTATATCTGGAGTTAAAAATATCCATGATTAGTAGCAGCTGTTGAGAACAATATGAAATGGTTTGGATTATCCCGTCGTGATCGTGATCTAGCTTGGGATTTGTGAAGCAGTGGCTTGGCGATATTCGGGATTTCCTTTTCAACTAATTAGTTGTCGCTTCGTACCCTTCTCTTCATACAACTAGTCAATGACGTCACTATCTATAGTAGCAGAGTGATTCAAACATAGGTATTTCAGTGTTTGTGGCCTTCGTGAGGTTAATAATTGGTTTGCTTGAAATAAACTGCCCATACCCTGTTTGTTTTTCACTTCTGTATGGCTTTGAAAAAGTTTCCTCTTTGGACTCAGAGGCGAGAACATATGAGTAAATTAACTACAATATTGGATAAGGATTGTGTTACACCACAAATTTGATTAAGTTCGAAAAATGAAGACCATGTGAACATTAAAACTTATTGGCATCCAAGTTTATCGTATCTACTGTAAGATCTGAAGATTCTGAATTAAATTTCATGTACAATTGTTAATGCATGCTGTTAAACGAGTCATCTCAAACTGAACTGAAACAAGGTGTTGAATTTTTTGATTGAGATCATGAACCGATTGATGTTAGACCAGCATTGAAAACCTAGAATCACTGGACGACTGTTTCTTCCTATTGTGTGGCTCGTCGGCGGTGCGCATTCACGACCCCGCTCGCGGGATTCGAACCTCGGGCCTTTAGTCTCGCGTGCGAACGCTTAACCTACTGGACTACTGAGCAGACATCCAGTGGTGTTAATGTCTAACTTCAACCAATTCAAGAAATTGCGCGACCGTCTTCCGTTGTACTTAGGTAGACACCTGTTTCTACCCGACACGGATTAGCTCCACTGGTCACGGCTTCTCACCAGAACTCCGAGAATTTTCTCACGAAGCTAGTCACTAGTGAGCACATGGTAATTATCAGTATAGGGCTTGTGGAGATTATTAAGCTTTTGGTTGAGATCATGAACCGATTGATGTTAGACCACCATTGAAAACCTGGAAGTACTGGACAGCCATGGGTTCGAATCCCGCGAGCGGGATCGTGAATGCGCACCGCTGAGGAGCCACACAATAGGACGAAACGGTCGTCCAGTGCTTCCAGGTTTTCAATGGTGGTCTAACATCAATCGGTTCATGATCTCAATCAAAAAATTCAACGCCTTGTTTCAGTTCAGTTTGAGATGACTCGTTTAACAGCATGCATTAACAATTGTACATGAGATTTAATTCAGAATCTTCAGATCTTACAGTAGATTTGACTATAGCGAATTTCCTCGTCTTAGCTGATGTCAGTTCATGATGAAAACCATAACCTTTAATCCCTAATTCTTAATCCTAACCCTAACCAATAACAATGTAGAGACTTTTTAAAAAAACTATGTATGTCATTTTATAAGTTAGAGAAGACGGGCAATCTATATTTACATGGACGAATTTATATATTGTTGCTTGTTCAATTTACAAGAAAAGTATCCTTTAAAAGACGCCAATACATTCGTTAACTGAGTTAAAATCTGTGTTATGTCCTAACGTAGAATGAGTGTTAACTTCCAGGAATTATTTAGAAATTATCACCACACATATATATATTATATATATTCTTATCATATAATTAAGTAAATAGATCATATATGTTTATATTCCTTTCCTCATAAGTTTTCATTCGACTTGTGGGCTACCGCTATATGGTTTACCACTCTTAATTTATTCCTACTACGTTAATTACAGTCTCCTATACTCACAACCACTTTGGGCATGATCTTCTATAATTATTATTCTTCATTTCATGGTATGATGCTGTCAGGCCTGCTTGTATATAAATCATGTTTGTCTGAAATATAGGATTCATACAACGGGGTTTTTTGTTTGTGTTATGAACCGAACGGGCTAGGTTAGGCAAGAAGTTACCACATAGGGAATCGATAAGGCCTGAGAGTTGACTCAAGGCTGCTCGTTTTGATTAACGCATTACTGGTTTAGTACAGGGACAAGATCATATATGTCGGTGTTCTGATTGGCGATTTTATGACGTCATATTTAATGAGCCATAGGACATAAATTGGCGACGGAAAGGTTTGTTTAAATGAACCTACGTACCTACTTTTGTAGTCGGATATATCTTACTAATCGAAAATAGAGACTTTCGAAGTAATACTAGATCAATTTGTGCAAGCTCAAATGGAAATTGTCAGTATAATAGAGAAAACTGTCCTTAATAATGTTAACACTGGGCAAGATCCAAATGTTTCGATGTTGGATTCCGACCAGTCTAGTGATTATTTAACTATATCGAGTGAAGTCCTGAATTGTTGTGGGAATAATGTTTCAAATAAATCAAATTCCTATCAGATTTACGATATTACTTTACCAGATATGGATTGTCTTATTGATTCATGTATTTCGAATGAAATTGTTTATAAATATGTGGAGGATTTGTCGAGTGCATCAAATCCTGACGAGAACTCTGATGCCTTTTTATCAGATATGGTTTGTCCTAATGATTCGTTTATTTCTAGTGAAATCTTAATTAAATGTGAGGAACAAGTTATAAATGCGTTAAAATCTGATTACAGTTCTGATAGTGTCCCATCAGATGTCATTTGTCTTCAAAACGAATTTACTCCTAGTGATATCCCTAATGAATGTGACAAATATGTCCCAAATTAGTTGAATTCTAGTCACATTCCTGATGTTATTTTATCAGATTTCGGGTATTCTCACAATCTATGTTCGATAGAATCCCCAATTAGTGGAATGATGAATCAGAGGGCACGGGAAGTTTGTCTGAAGCAATGAGAGAACCAGTTTGCTCAGGGAGAAAATCTAAAATGAGTCCTTATAATAAGTATGAAGCAAATACATATGTTCCGTATGATTGTCTTGTAGGTGTATCACATGTGTTAATCACATATATCAATGCTGAAAGTGCATATTCATGTTATAACTGGAACAATGGCCTTATGTTTTTTTCCACGTGAAAGGCGATGAATGGAACATGTAGCATATTTTTTATGCAAGTCAAAATCACATGTCGATTTGTATGCCTAAATACTCACATACAATCAAAACTTAAGCTATGAGATAATGCAGATTGGGGACGTTAAATTATTTATAACATTGCAACATAAGGTCCCTACATTGTTTCATGGAGGGAGGTATATGCATGCAATGGTAAGTCATAATTCTGATCAATCTTTTCAAACGGATGTGGGACAGGGCTGTCTACAACCTTAGAGGGGAAGGTCGTGTGTGGTGGTGAAACTAAAATATAATTAGTCATTGAGCCTGGACAAACAGGCACAGCGTACTGACTACTAAGTACGTGATTTCCTTTCGTGCTATTGATTTCTATTCCGAACTCACTGAGTGTGAATGCCTGTAACTGTGTCAAATGAAAGTATTATCTAGTGCTAATCTGGTTTTCTCTTCCGGGTCGTGAATTCTGAATCTGTTATAACGTAACTAGCCTTATTATCGTATCAACGTAACATATTCTAGCTTCTGGACAAGCCAATCTATTCATTTTTCACAATTGATTGATCACTGGTTGGTGATCAATGTCACACGTGTCAGGTCCTTCTTAGTGCAGATCGAATGCAATCGATCGAGTTGCAATGTGGCCACCAGTCTAGGTGACTCGACATTGCGTACACTATGTTGAGATAAGATGATGATTGGACATAGTCAACAGGAAACCCTGGACCCGGGTTTTGAGTTACTCAGACTAGTGGTCACATTGCAACTTGATCGATATCAATCCATCTGCACTAAGAAGGACCTGACGTACATGTCATTGATTACCACCCAGTGATCAATCAATTTTGAATACATCTCAGTCCTACAGGATGTCAATCTAGGTCCGGTTAGCCCAGTGGTAACATCTCTGACTATGAAGCTGGGTGACACAGGGTCGAATCCGTCAGGAAGCGCCAGCTCCCTCAAGATTAAAGGTACACCTTGCTGACGAGTGCCAAATAACACGAAACCCGGGTTTAGGGTTTCCTGTTGACTACCTCCAACCACCATGTATTCATTCTTCTTGAGTCACGTTTTCACTTTGTCAATTATTAACTTATCAACCTTGACTGTTTTTGTATGAGTGTATGTGTGTACATTCCTTATCCTACTCATTACATGCTTGTAACTTATTTTTGTTCGGCCATAAATATCGGCCAACGCTTGAATAAATCGAGTTAACTTACATGCCTTCTCCACCGCGCATCATCTCGTTTCGCTTCGTTCCTTTGATCGTCTGCTTGGATCAATGATTGTATAAAATATACATATTCAAAAATACATTCTCGTGTTTGATTTATTTAATTCTATTATTCACTAATGTGAGTTATTGGCAGAATATATATTTCAATAACAATCATTCATACAATCCAATTGGAGTCAGATACGGGGCCACTAAAATCCTAGTATACTTGAGCGAGAGGGAAATACTTTAAACCATCCGTTATATCATTGTTTTTCCCATAAATTATCGATTTCTGATTGACCAAAAGTTGGCCGGAAATTAATCCCGGTTGTTTTAAGCTCATCCATTTATCATATTTATACCGCATATATTGGTGTAAGACAGGAATTTGTTGCAATGCTGTTCACGATTGGTGTGAACAATTTGTTTCATGTGATGTTGAATTAAAAAATTATCGTGATCACTATTATTGCTCTACGTAATTATGTTGTACTATTTTGTAATTTCATGCTAAATATGTTTTTTTCTTCTTTTTCGTGTACTTTTTTTATTAAATTTAGTTTAAACGAGCAAAATCTTTCGGATTATCTCATAAAACAAGGTTTTGTAACTCACTCGTTAAATCCATTTCTCGTGGAAACTGTAAATAAATACATTGAAAATGTCGACGATAATGATAGTAGAGTTTCACCAGTTTCATCTAGTCAAGGTTATGTAACTGATATTAGCAATAGCAGTATTCATAATACTGATTGGTTAAATTTGGTTAACCAAAAGATATCTGGTATTCGACAAAGGATAGGTCGTATGAAGAATGATCTTTCATATGCTAACGATAATCGAATTAAACAATTCCAAATAACTGAGGTTTGTGTTTTATTTGCTTGTTTGTTTCTGTGGGGTTTTTTTCCTTGGTTTTAGTGTTTATTATATTTCATTAATTAGTAATTGTTCATTCTATTACGTATTGTTATAGTCAACGACCAAGCGTGTTCCTTAATGCATCGTTGTTGTTTGTATTTTGAAGTCATGAGGTGTAGAAACTAATTGAGGCGATTGTCTATTATTGATTAAAAGATGAAATTGGTTTGCTTTCATACGTAGTTTGAGAATAGATTATTCGGTGTTGTTTAGATAACTCAACAGTCTTTAATGATCACCGCAAAAATATCAAAGATTAAGATTTTATTTCATAAAGTAATAAAGATTTACTTCTTAAATAACTTATAACAACTGTAATTCGCCTCCAACGTTGATGATTTGTACGTCACTGCATACTTGACTATTAAATGAAAAAGCACCTTGTAATCCTATAGGCATTATAATTGATATCGGGAGATAAAGTTTGTCAAGGCGTTCTAGAGTAATGTCAAAAGTGTGTGAGGAGCTGTCGCTTCATGGTTGCTCACAGCATGAGGAAGTACGTCTTAAGGTATCCGGAAGCGAAACTGGATTGATAAGAGGTCTTGGAGACCTAGGAACATGACTGTAGTAGAGCCCAAGAGATAATTAAGGACGGCCACACATGGTCTTTTTACGAGTATCTCTTAATATACAGTTGGGAAGAAAGTATAATCTGAAATAAATAATGCGACCGGTGACAGTTGAACCTAATAATTAGGTCTATATCTTATTCAAGAGTAAGGAGCCTAAAAACATATCCTATAATCATGTTTATTTTAAATAATTTGTAATCATGTTTAGTTTTGTGTTTAATATTTTGTTTACAAGTGTGAGGATAACTATCCTTTCTCAGTGTTTAGTAAAAGTACGATAACTAGCATTTTCGAGAATTTTTCCATTTACTTAGTGGGCCATTTCCGCATATGACAGTTTAATTTTCATTGATGACTCCATTTCACTCATCTAAAGCTATTTACATATGTCTTCTGTGAATACCTTACTGTGATGCTTCCCACTTTTCTGGATTTAAAAAGCAAATGTCGTGGAAGTTAGAGCTTAAAATGAAATTCTCAATAAAATTTGTGCTCTTAGGTGCAGTATCCACTCAATAGATGAAGGAAAAATGCTAGATTTTACATCGAACGGCAGATTTGAGAAAAAAGTCAAGGAGACATCTTCTATGCTTAATTGTCTTATTTTACTAGGTAGAAAAACATTATTTGATGATTAACTGTATTGTATATTCATATCCAGTTATTAGGAGTGCAATGTGAACTTATGTCAGTAGTTCTATCTTGTTGCCATTACTAGTTGAGCATATTTTATCAGTGTATCACTTAAACAACTGAAACGTGTATATAACTAATCTATAATCTCTTGCTCCATAAACTATAAAACAATACGGAACTGTGTACAGAATAAGCCTAGCATAATAATTTTATTATTTTGAGAACTGGATACACTGAAGAAACATTGGATACCGGAGGAGGAAGGGCTGAATATCACAAAGGGTCGGGATTGGTGGGATTCAGGTCTCTTCATGGACATTGTAACTTTTTAGTACATATTAATGCTATATCACAGACTAAATGGTTTTAAAAACACGAATCATTGAACTTGGACTAATTAAGGTCTTCTAATAAAGCAGTTGTGTAAGTGCCTACTGATGATTAGTTTTAAACTTAAACAAAATCTCTGTTCAGTACTTGTTGGTTATCTTTTAAACTGTCGTTTGTTTTTACACATTTGTTTTAATTCACCTTAGATACGTTCATTACAAAGTCAATTGCATTATTTAGAATTACAAAAAGCTGAATATCTTGTTGATACAAGATCATCATTATATGAAGATGAATTATTGACCAATGGAGGGAAACCAATTCATTCAGCTTGTTTAGCATTTGCTTATCTTGATTTACATGGATTAAATAAATCATGCGCATTACATGTATTACAACAACGTTTAACTTATTTAAAAGATAAATTAAATCGATTAAAATCATTGAAATATTTCACCGTGATAACTGGTCGAGCAGCTGGCAGTGAAAGTGACTTAGTGTCAATAGCCCCAGTGTTAAGACCAGCAGTTATACAGTATCTTTCAAGAAATGGTTATAAATTTGAAGAGAATTTTCGAGTCGGTTCTGGACATTTTACAGTTAGTTTAAACAATTCAAAATTGAGATAATAATAGAACTGACAGGGAAAATTTGTTTCCATTGATTAATAAACAAATACTTGATTACTGCAATTTTCCTATTCCATTTATATATTTTTTCTGTTTGATTATTTTTTCTAGTCTACAGCCCGCATCGTTTTTTTGAACAAAAAACGATCCGGTAAGAAGATGATTTTATTTTAATTGAGATCATGAACCAATCAACGGTAGTCTAACATTCAATGATTCATGATCTCAATTAAAACTCAACAATCTTCCCAACCCTATACTGATAAGATGATCTTGTTGTTGGTGTATGTTTGATTTTTTGATGATCACTGTTATTTTTGTCACTTAGAGTTGTATGTTCGTTTGTTTCTTATTTTTTAAAAATCTCTTTTTCGACGAAAAAGAAAACGGAAGATTTAAAAAAAGATATTTACTCAGTGTTTTAATGTCAATTCACTGAATTGGCACAACTTGGTTAATTTATATCTTATCATGGTATAGATTGTCATTGCTGAATCAGCAGTATATTGTTATTTTTTTTTAAAAAAAAGTCGTAATTAAACTGTAAATGTATGAAATTGGTTAGTTTTTGATTAGCGAGTCTTACATTCAATTGAGTCTTACATATTACTCATTGGAATAGTTTTGTAGTAAGTCTTGTACTTTCAATACTGGTGGAGATTTGGGAAGAGATGTGTTACTTGAACTGGCATATGATATATTGATACTTCATTTTCGCTCAATTGTTTTTTCTAGTTAAAATCATTTGAATATGCGATATTCTAAAGGGTCTTAAAATATTATTATGCATCTTATTTTTTCCAAAGTGAACACTACCATTAAGTTCTTTTTACTGGTGTCATCAAAAGTCAATCTTATTGATCAATAACACCTATACTCAATGAAATATAAATTTAATCTTTAGAAAAAAGCTTCAAGCATCTGAATTGATTAGTCTCAACTGTTTTGTAGCGTTACAAGTTTGTTCTTATCGAGTAGCAATAATTTTCTTTTTTTGACGATTGTATTCTAAATATTGTTGATCAGAGTGCTAAACAAAAACCATATGAAGCATATAAATTTATTATTCATATTAACTGGTGGTTGGGTCCTATTGTACTGTATTCCGACCAGTTAATTCTTACGCTAATCAGTTTATAATTGCACCAAACAAATTTAGATCATTTGCATGGTATATTCTTTATTACTCAAACAGTAAGATGTTCATCAAAATAACGTTTCAATCTCAGTTATATCATTGAAGAAATATTGCGACGTTCCGTATCTTTCAAGATAAATTTTGTGTAATTTTTGTGTAACTCGAAGATTTTTTAAGCGCCAAACGTCTTCTGTTGGTGTGAACTTGAAGTTCATATCTCTTTTAAAAGCCCATTCCCAGTACCGTTAGGTGAAACTTCCTACAAACTCATAAGTCCAACGTCGGCATTATCTGCCCAAACGTCTCGGTTTTGATTGTGTTGGCAGTTTAACGAGGAACCAGGAAAATTCTTGGCCCAGTTCGGTGTCCACCGAAACGTTCAAGCCAAGATTTCTGTCTACAACATAAGTCGAGCGATTACATGGACAACCCTACTCAGTCATTGCGACTTGTTAAGGTGTTATTCACTGCCTACATTCTTGGGAGTTAATTTAGGCTGGAAATATGGTTGGCCATAGAACTTACGGTGGTATTGACAGATTGTCCAGATTCTTTAGGCAGTGTTGGCCTGCTCTTAAACCTAGACCTTTGTTGTTGTGGCGACCTGCTACTGTTTCTATGATCTGTTTTTTATCTTGGTGGCAGTGTAGTGAGGAAGAACACGGGTGAGGACAGCCAAATTGTATTTAGGGCAAATTACAGAATTACTTGGTAAAATAGAAAAACCATATAGTAAATCGTTAATTTGCAAAATGTCATTCTATCATATCCATTGTCTCGCATTTCATTGTTCATGCGATTTCTTACAAAGTCCATTGTTTTCTCGCTCTTCTTTTCTTGATCTTCTCCATCTTCTGCTGCCAGACATTGCGTTCTTTTGACTCACGTTATATACTACTTATATCAATATAAGTAGCACGCACCACACTCGTCCCCCCTTTTAACAAGTTGCTGTCGTAGTCTTTCTGATCTCCGTACCGCTGTGTTCTTTGGTGCTTTTCGTGATTCACACCCATGGTGATCTTGAAACCATCCCTGTAGTTGACTAGCATTTACGCGCTTCTGTTTGTCTTCTCTCCGGATCGTGTAGACCGAGCCGCGTCTCTCCGTGATAACATACGGTCCTTCCCATTTTGGGGTCAGCTTTCCCGACCCTGCTCCCCCTGCTATGTTACTTTTTCGTTCTCTACACTTTACTAGGTCCCCCACTGCAAAGGGTTTCCACGTTCTCCTCTGTTGTTCTGCCTTCTTTGTGTCTGATATTTGTTTCTTTTCCACGTTCCTTATTGCCTCTCTCCTCTCTTTTCTTAACCTTGTTGTCGTCCACTTCTGTTGTTGTGGCCAGGTCTTATTATGCAGTGGAAGTCGTGGTTGTCTGCCATACATGAGCAAGAAAGGTGACTTCTTGGTTGTTCCTTGTGTGGAGGAACGATGTGCCAGCAAAATCAATGGTAACTCTTTCTCCCAATTTCCTCCTTTTGATGCTAACCATTCCTTTAACGTCCGATTGTTTCTCTCTGTAAGCCCGTTTGTCTGAGGATGATACGGTGTAGTTCGTATTCTCTTGATACCAAACTGCTTTAAACGGGCTTTAAACTCGTCACTTTCAGAACAGGGACCCTGGTTAGTTAATATCATCTTTGGTATTCCGTGACACGCTACAATATGCCGAATTACCACCTCGGCCACTGTCCTTGCCCGCTGGTCTGCAATGGGTACGGCATCTACCCAACGTGTAGCATGTTCCGTCATCACTAACAGGTACTGGTTACCGCTCGCCGTCTGTGGAAACGGTCCCATCACATCCACCGACCATAGATCACCGACTGCGGTTACTGGGATTGACTGTAATGGCGGTTGTGTGTATCGATCGCTTTTCATTAGCTGACACTGCTGGCAGGTTAACACGTATTCAGCCACATCGTCTCTCATGCTCGGCCAGTATGCACTTTGTCGTAGTAAGTCCGTCGTTCTTGCGATGCCTGTATGTGCTACCTGGTGACACTCGTGTATCACTTTGCGCCGCCAGTCTTTCGGGATCACCGCCACCCAATTCTCATCATCGTCCTGCCAGGTCAGCACTCTATATGAGTTCACTCTCAGTCGTCCTTTTGCCGAAGCAGCGTTATTACCTCCTTCTCCATTGTTTGTTTATCTACGTCTGCTCCCTCTTTTATCACTCTGATTACCTCTCGAAGATTAGGGTCAGCTTTCTGCTGCCGGACGAGTTCTAATGGGTCTCCCTCCAAACTATTCACCGCGTATGCTGTTAATGGCAGGTCGGCTTCCATGTCTGGTCTTGACAAGTAATCCGCCATTACGTTTTCTTTTCCTGGAACATGGCCGATACTGAAATCGTATTCTTGCAGGCGTATCATCCATCGCGTCAACTTCCCTCGGGGGTCTCTTGCGGTTTTCAACCACTGCAGGGGTTTATGGTCGGTCTCAATGTGAAATCGTCTACCTAAAAGGTATGGTCTCCATTTTTCCACTGCCCACACGATCGCTAAACACTCCTTTTCGATGGTTGAATACTTCTGTTCAGCAGGTGTGAGGACGCGACTCGCGTATTCCACAACTCTATCAGCCTGACTCAACACAGCACCTATACCATGATCACTCGCGTCTGGGGCCACTGTAAACAGTCTTCCCGGTTCAGGCAGTCTGAGCGTCATCTGGCGATCGTCTAGCATGTTTTTGATTCGGTTGAACGTTTGTTCGGCAGTCTCAGTCCACGTAAACTTGGTGCTGCTCAATAACTTATATAAGGGTGCTGCTATTTCGTTGAAATTTTGATAAACCGACTGTAGAACGCCTCTCTTCCCAGGAACTGTCTCAACTTCCTTTTCGAATTAGGTACTGCAATATTTTTTATGGTAAGAATTTTCTCCGGCAATGGTTTTATTTCTCCATTTCCCACTTTATGTCCCAACAATGTGACGCTACTTCTCGCTATCTGCGACTTGTCCTTATTAATCCGAAGTCCAAATTCGTCAATTCGCTTTAAGACCGCTTCCACATGCTTGATGTGATCTGTTTCTGTTTGACTGTACACAACTACATCGTCGCCATATACCTCGACATTATCTAGATTCTTGAGCAGTAGTGTCATTAATCTTCTGAACGTGAACGGTGCACCCGCCAACCCGAACGGCATTCGTTTAAATTGATACTGTTTATCACGTACAGTAAACGCTGTCTTGCTTCGATCACTCTGTTTTATAGGTAGTTGCCAATAACCTGACCGTAAATCCAGTACTGTAAACACCGTGGCATTCTGTAGCCGATCTACTGTTTCCACCACTGTTGGCGTTGCACAAGGCTTCAGGTCTGTTATATTATTCAATTCTCTGAAGTCGACACAAAATCTATACTTTCCATTTGGTTTCTTTACCAAGAGTACCGGCGAGCTATATGGACTGTCCGCTTCCTCAATTATACCTTCTTTTAACATTTCCTGGACCTGACGATTTACCTCGGCCTCTAAATGCACCGGGACACGACGTGTTGCAAATATATTTACTCGACTGTTCTTTATCGGTATTTCGTGCTTTACTCTGTCACAAAATCCATACGGCTCCCCATCTCCAGTGAATAGTTTCGCATACTTTTTGCATAACTCGTGAATGTTTGGTTTCTTTGACGAGACATTCGCTGCAACTCTTATTTCAGCCACTTCGCTACTTTCGTGTATTGTCAATGAACCATATTTCGTGACCACCTTACCGCTTCTTAAGTCAACTATCGCTTTTACTTCTCTTAGGAAATCTGCTCCTAATATCGGTCTCGATAAGCTTGTGGTTACGACGAACGGAAAATTTATCTCAGCATCCCCCACTTTTACGATACTGTTAGGTACGCCAAACACCTCTAACATATGGCCCCCTATCGTGTGGACAGCTAATGTACACGGCTTGATTCTCTTACATTGCTCTTTGCCTATTAACGATACTGCTGCACCTGTATCGATCAGACAAACTAAATCTCGCTCATTTATGTCCACTCTCGTATATACTGCCCCTCTGTCTACTAACGCAACAATCCCCAGATTCATAGGATAGAAAGAACACTCGTTGTAACGTCTAACATATCTGCGTCTTCGTCTTGTTGGACAGTTTATCTTCCAATGTCCTGTCCCTCCACAAGCGTAACATTTATCGTTCCTTTTATTGTTCACTCGTATTGCTGCAATCTCACGCTCCAGCTCCTCAATCTTCTTCTCGACACTATTCATCTCCTGCTTTTCGCACCCGACCGGAGCTACTGTTCGCGTCATCAGCTGTCGAGTCACCTTCGCCAGTTCACTGATATCCATCGGTTGCGCTGCGTTCACCAGTTTCAGTTGTTGGGAGACGGTGGCAGGCACACTCTCGATAAACTGTGACGCCAACAACTGTGCCTCCGACTCCTCATCCAGACTCGGCAGAGCACGGCGTAACAATCTGGTAAGCTCCACAGCCAGCACCAGTGGGTCACTATCGACCGGCAACCTCGCCAACCGGAACTTCTGCGGCGCGTCCTCTCTGTCCACTGGGCTGTCAAACTCCGCCGCCAACCGCTCCGTGACTGCCTCCCACGTCGTCTTCCCGCCAGCACCGTCCAAGCTGTCATACACAGCCTTCGCTCTGCCTCTCAGCAGCGTCCCCAGCACCACCAACTTCATCTTCGGCTCCTTCACTCCCGCCAGCTCCGCCACGGCCTCAAACTCCTTCAGGAAGCTCAGCACATCCCCGTCCTCAAACTCCTTCGGCCATGGAATCTTCATCCTTAGTGGAGGCAGCGACGCCAAACGTAGTGAAGAAGAACACGGGTGAGGACAGCCAAATTGTATTTAGGGCAAATTACAGAATTACTTGGTAAAATAGAAAAACCATATAGTAAATCGTTAATTTGC